CGGGCAGCTAATGGGTAGAACATTTCACAACTCGGCTTGCCATTAAATTCTGCGAATAGCTGTAAATGATAGCCTTTCATTTTATAACCAACACTTGTAGCCACCCTCTTTATAATTAGGCTTCTTCTCTCGATAGCATTAATTTCCTTCATTTAAGTCAATACATTGTGGAAGGTCGTAGAGGTTTAGCCTATCGATGGTTCGGAACAGCTAATTTCTTTGACTATTAAACCCATTCACCTTTATATCCTCTGTTTCACTTGACTTAATGCTTCCAAGGTATGCATAAGTTATGTATAGGGCAACCAAAGAGTTGCATGCAATTTCCTACAGTTAGAATCATAAAATGGGGAAATGGAGTTTTTCTTCAAAGGGAGTAGCCATCACCATTTATCATCCTTTTCCAAAGGGACACAAGATTGCAAATTCCAATACCATAAAACACTGCGTCTTCACAAGCAAGCACCATGGCCCTAGCAACCTCGAACTTCCCCGACTGTTTATTTAGCACGCTATTTATAGATATCCAAGACCTTATTACGTTCATCACTCGGAGGAATGTCATCAGGAGAATACAAATGATAGGGGATAGGGGAGCAGTCCGTTCTTACCTGCTCAAGGATAGGCTTGAGCGTATAAAACTTTGTGCTACATTTTACGGCCGTACTAGGACTCTCCTGTGGGCCATCAGGCCTGCCAGTCTTGACGATTCTCGAAGAAGCTTTTCTTGACCGCTTTCTAGTTGTATTAAGCAGATAAATTTCAGTCACATGTGTTTGGTCTTCAGGAGGAAATGCGTACTGAACAATTGCGCCTGCAGTCCATCACACACAGAGGGCAAGTATGTCCTCCTGGAATGAAGTGGGGTGTGTCCTGACAATGTGAATCGTTTGTTTACCGTACGTTAGAATGCATAACTAATTCAGTTACCATCCAACCTAAAAAAATCCGCCTTTATAACTTGCGTGAAAGGGGAAGAGGGCAAACTGATGGCTTTTAGAACTTACTGACATTTGCCAATACATTGTATGTGGAAATAATTTTGTTTGCATTCACCACTGTGGCTGTCCAGACGATATGGGTGTAATCGAACCACCTTCTTATTTGCTTCAAGCACTGTTAAAAGTTACTGGAATAATTAGCTCCAACTATTTTAATAAGTAGGTCTGTATTATTCTCCAGCATCGAGAACAGACGGTCTTCCTGAGTGAGACGCATCCAGCTTTGTATTGTTTACCACAGAAATCAAACATTTTAAACCTTTTCCAGGCACTGCGCCCCACCACTGCACCCTCTTCAAAGGGTGAAAACAATTGTGGAACCTGCATTAAATTCGTAAAATCGACCATTTTCAATTGGCTTGACCAGATTCGACCGACGTTAAATGAAGTTTCCAAACAAAGGAGAGATGTTACAAGATACAATAATTGTGCTAATGCCTTTACTTTGTTCCAGCACACTACATAAGTCCATAAAAGTTGATATAAATCGTCGGCGCGAACTACAATGAAGCCGCATTAACTTGTGCGGTCACCCGAAATGTTTTGATTAGATCTTCTCAAGACAAAGTACGGTATTTCCGGTACAACTAGGAATCGTTCTAATCACTTTTTTTATTCCTGCTAGTGTTTTATTACTTAAATTTCATAACGGATTTGTACGCTATTCTTTTGGCCCGAGGAAAATTTACAATTGTGTGCCTGATCCAATAAAGTAGAATTAAACGAATAGGCGAATGCTGGTTTATCCGCTGCATGAGCATTAAAGTAAACCCAACTTCCGCCTCACCTACTTTTTCTGTTGATTATCGAAATCCCTCATAATATGCCTAGCTTTTGCACTTGGAATGCAACCGTGACTTTTCCCTTGCTTTGAAAAGTGGAAGAACAGGTTTTAGGTGTAAATGGCTGATGTCAATCAAAGCTTTCGGAAACTAATTCGCTTACTACCTCCACTCCAATTTGCTTTGCATGGATCGTAAATATGTTTTTGATCGGATTAGAGCTAGCGACTTTTTGGCCCATCATTACAAGCTGTTATGTAATACGATAGTGGTTTATCCCTCGGCATCGGTGAGGCGTCACTTTGGTACTTTGAATTAGCCCCCTTGTACCTCGTTGGGTGGGCTGGCCTTTCGGGCCATGCCAATAGCCCAGACACCTTCTCCGAGGTGAATATATATTCTGCCCAAGTATTGCGTCCTCTTTCGTCCTCGGGGAGTCTCGGGACGCTACAGTTAACTATTTGGATTTGGCTATAAAGCTGTCAAGACCTATTAAGTTGATAGTGTCTAAACGGGAGACGATTTCACCTTTCTTAAATTTCTGTCGGCTAGAATTTTATTCAGACATCTTTTAGGCAAATATTAAGAAATTCGAGGATGAATTTGCAAAAATATTGTTTTACTTGCCAGTGTGAAGGTTGTAAGGAATAGAAAACGCTAAGTGGGTCGTTTCAATCACACTAGGGTAGGTTATTGTTTGCACAACAAGTCCGCAGATTTCGCGACTACCTAAATGGCATTAACTGGTAAAATATACACAGCATCGTTTGTAAATTATTTTTTACCTGATTTAGCTTTTCTGGCAAAACTTTACTCGGCAAAAGAACAAAAGTTTAACAACTTTAGAGACGCTTATTTAGAAATTAACTGAATACTGAGCCATAAAGTCGTTTATCGTTGGTGCAGAAATACTCCTTCTAGAAATTTGCAATTAGATGTTTTTAAGAGGAGTCAATCTACCCCATGTTATGATTAGCTGGATAGTATGTGTAGCCGACGCCCAAAATAAATGAAGTGATGGCCGCTGCAGTGGCCCACAATTTTGAGGGGGCAGCCCTTACCGTACCTGAATAAAGCAAGCAGCAAACCAGGTATGCATGAGTCAATAGCCTTCTTCAGGTAATCGCGGCCTTAGTCATCAAGTCCCATTTATCGGTGTTATGACAATGTGCCAACTCCCATCTGGAGGGGATCGTGCACCGTGTTTTTATTTCAATCCTTCAACCTTTTAAATTGAGTCTACTTTGCATCACAGTCACTAAAGTGCTTACAAAGGTATTAGGAAGTCCGCGTTAAAAAGAGCTTTCATTTAACCCAAAAAGTGGAGCGTCACGCAGGCGTCCGCTAGGAGGCAGGGATGATCATCCTATTTCTAATACCTTTCGTGTCATGAGCTTAAAAAGAACAATTGTACAAAATCCACCTCAAGATAATGGGCTAGGTATGACTCAGTAACATCACCAAAGGATGCGAATAAAAGCCTGTCTGAGTGACTTTGACTCCTACTCTCGGTGACGTATAGAACAAAGGCAAGGGATGTTAAGGGTGTAAACAACTAGTGCATCCTTTCACACAACATGTATAGGTACAGTTGTTCTTTTACACAAGCACGAATTTAAGTAGTACCAAGGGAAAGCGTCCACTCCAAACCAAAATGGAACTTTTGATGGTACAGGTATAAAAAGGAGCACTACCATGGGGGTACTGCAAGGAGGACTAAGTGTCAAATGCTAATGACTGCGAAACATGTCGTGGGATAGTCCCACCATCGAACCGTTGGGCAATAGTGATAGTACGGGTGGAAAAGGACATTCGTTGGTGAAGTTTCTTGTAAAATTACTTGCGCTTGTAAACCTAAACACGGTGCAGTGTTGAGTGACTTTTAAGGAGAGTCAACTTCACCTCAGTATGTCAGCTATGGTGCCAATAGATTGGCAGTTCTCAGGCCTCTTCACTGCAGTAATTCCGGTGAACTTTTAGCAACCGGGTGAACCGCTTGATTGACACTCACTCTACTATATTACGTGACTCCATAAAAGAATTAAAACAGCAGGAGGTGTGTACGGCTTTCCAGGACAGCTTTTCATTTTCGACCTCCTCTGAATGTTATATGAAGCTGAGGAAGTATTTTGACAAGAAAGGTCGGAGTTTTTTGGGATTGAATTAGGACACGTCCAAAGCGTGTGCACCTCAAAACAATTTTAGAAATAAAAAAGTCTTCAAAACAGTGGAAGCATGCAGTGTCACCACTCGGGCTGTGCTTTGATGCCCCTTTGGCAATGCCACGCTAAAAAGGCTCAGTCTGAATGTCGTGCCTCTCAGGCGCAACCAAGCAGGTTGAATGCAGTGTGATGACCGACTGAAGAATAAAAAACCCGGCCACGGCAGCATTTTATTTGATCTTGACTTCATTGAGCCCGGTTGTGTGTGAGGTCCCAAGAGTCAGAGCTTTCACTTTGTCGGTGAGATGCGTGCACCGAGGGGAATTACAAATGCCCAAGTTATCTGGCGCCAGGCGGCCAATTTATCATCAGAGGTTACGCAATTTCCAGGCTTTGCTGCAGTCGGAATATTAAACTTTGAAATGCACTGTTCAACTTTACATGACATAGGAGGCTCGCGTCAAGCAAATTTTTCATTTATGACTTCAAATGTTTCTTTTGTCAGTTTAATGTTGTATTTCATCCTTTACTCAAACCACTTTTATGGTGGAGCCTGTAACTTTTCTGGTTACTGTTAAGGACCTTTACCTTTTTTAATGATCCCTTCAGAATGCTGTCTAAATCTTAACCTATCCGCCTGATAGGAGTTGAAACGGATGTCCAGCTAGCGAAACTGAACCACCTATTAAGGTATCATCAAATGGATGCGTCATTTCCGAGTATATTTGCATCCTTTTACGATTGTGAAGCGAGACATTAAGGGGGTAGACAGTATTTTCTGGATTTTATTGCTACATTGTGTGCCTCTACAAAAAATATTTCATCATGGTGTTGCTATTCTAAGTACGTTGTTTAGTATCAGACTACTTCAATGCTCCTCGTGACCAGCTAAAGCGACTCTCCTCCAAGGTCCCCTCACCTCTGGCCAGCAGTTTGGGCTGAAACGAGTTTGAACAAACCATAGCACATTTAAGTACAAAGACAGAGTTGAATTACAAAGAAAAGCAAGTAAGAAGAACTCTATTTCGCGTCAAAAAAGACGGAGAAATGGCCATTTATAGACGAGAAACCAAAACGCCGTGGGAATCAAAGTACTCTTCTGTGGTGGTAAATTGAGACTGACGATAATCCTCGTGATCTGGAAAGGCGCAGAAAAAAGGCAGATCCGCGTTTGTAGTGGGACTGGTAGTGGTGTTGGTGGGAGTAGGGGTGGTGTTATTGGCGTATTCACGTTGGAAACAGGAGAGTTTAAGCGAGGCTGAATCCATGTCTTCCTGACCTGACATTTTGAGAGCCCCGTAGGTGTAGTCTGGAGAGGGTAGAGGGGGCGGCGACATCCTTACATGAAGAATTGACTTTCTTTTCGCCAATTGTTGAGAGTCTATTTGCGAGGAATACAGGGGCACAAGACTATCGGCAGCATATTCCGTATCTTCTGGTGTGTAGTGTCGACTAGTTTGTAAGTCAGTTGTATCTGCTTGCGCGTCAGTTGTATCTACTCTCTTCCCTCGGCAGCAAATTGCAGACTCGAATAAGATCTTAGCGAAGAGGATTATCTGTACCAAGACATCGCCCGTCAGCAGAGCAATTTCACACAAAATCCAGACATTAATCCACCTTCCATCATTCCTTATCCAACCTAGTCGATGCAGATTAGTTTGGGCATTTACTGGGAGCCAACTCACAAACTCCACAAGACTAATGAATGTGATGAATTTACATTCCCACATAAGTACTTGCCCGCTATTGTCATCTGACTTCTCTGTGTTCTCCGCAGGAACATGGCAGAGACAGTGGAGATGGTGATGAGGTTTTTGGCCCACTTTGACAAGCCTACATGACATGGTGAGGAGGAGGACGAGAAAGCACACAGCCGGAGACATAAATGCTAAAAAGCTCTGCATATACTCATAAGCAGGCGACCCAAGCGAATTGGTAACACACCATTCAAGAGAATCTCCTCCATTCTCGATCCTGAAATTCCCTATTTGTGGTGCGGTTAACAGGGTTGAAAACACGACAATGCACATTATGCAGAGGATAGAGTGACCGTAGGTCCTGCGAAAGCTCCGTTCTTCTGACTGAGTGGCAGGTGTTGGTTGCTCCGTACAGAATAACTGACATGTCTTGTCAGTCAACACTTGGAACACTGAAGTAATGCACTTGCAGGATCTGAGATTGGTGTGAATGGCATTGAACTGCGGGGCAATTGTACACTTTGAAGTAATGGATCGGGTAAGCCTAGCTACAGCGAAGATCTGGCACACAAGAAGGAAGAAGAACAGCCATGTGGCAGCTAAGCGAAAGGCCTGCTGGGTCATTATAAGAGTGGGTATTTTCGCTGACACCCTTCTACCAGCATCGGTGGTTGAAGAGATCTGCATGAAACGAGGAAACGCCATGATCCACAGAAGAGCAGCAGCCATCAGTTTAAGAAGGCAGTAGGCAACAAGGTAGGGCCCATTTAAGCAATAGTCACGAATGCAGTCACGCAAAATTGCAACTGAATTGCAGATCGCAAGGAGAGAGGAAATAGGGGGTAGAATAAGTAGTCCGTATTGAAGAGTGTACCTCAGTCTCTCCGTAGTGATGTCATCAGTTGGTGCCAGTAGGTAAGTATCTTCAACAAGGTAGGCATTTTCTGCGAAGCACCAATACTTCCCAACCGGTAGCTGCGTCATCGCGAGTTTGTGGAGCACGACCAAGCTAGTAGTAGGTGTTAGAATTCCCCGCCTTCTGATTGGTTCTCAATCTGGTGGAGTGAAGTAGAATACATGCTAACTGACCAATGAAAAGGGTTATAAATAGAATTGTGACTAATACAACATAATTACGGTAATTACATGTAAATATCAGCCATTCGCATCTCACTTTTTGCACATTGACAGTCGCGCACTGTTTCATTCAGACATGTTGATTTGGGTGTCTAGCAAATGCACCTTCGCGTATTCCGCGAGTACTCAAATGCCTCTTCTTGCTTTAGTTTATAATTTTTTGGTCAGATAGGCACCAGCATACGATGTGAAAGTTGGGTCCCTAGAAGGCAGAATTGCAGTGTTTTGATAGTTCAGGCAGTCCTACAAAATTTGAGCAGACTTTACCTAAAAGAGATCAGTAAAAGTAGTTACCCAACTCTATCATTAGCCGTTCTAAATTCTATGGGAACAGGAGTAGAATATCTTCAAATAAATACCTCTTTTCTTAAAGAAACCTTTGAGCAAATATGCAATAATTAGTAGATTTAAAAGGACGAATTAGAAGAAGGCAGTTTCCTCCCTAACAGCATGTTGTTTAGCTAAACTACTAGGATTTAGACTCAGGCTGCACACTGTAGGGCCTCAGTCTTTCCTGAAGTTGGGAGAACACATAGTGCTAGGACAGAATGCGTTTTGCCGATGTATAGAAGGGCTGAGAGGCTACTGGCATGGCCCGGAAGCTATGCCGCCAGGCGGAAGTATAAAGGCGGAGCCTAAGGGGTCCACGTGACAAGAACGACAAGGAAACGAAGAATTATTTTGCCCCTTTCTCCATCTAAGCGTCGTCCTCAGCGGTCCCCTTGGTCAGCCTTCCACGTCGGCCATCACAACGTAGTCGGTGCTGTGAGAATGTCATCCACGAAATAACCGCCACAATAATTGACTGCAACTGTAAAAATACCTGACTACAAGGGCACAGATTCCTCTTAGCAACTCCACTGTATCTGGAATGTGGTCCCTTTTGAGAACTGCATTGGAAGCCGAGGGAATGCACGCTCCATCACGTATGTTCATCACTAGTTATAAAGGCACTAGACAAAACACCGAGTAATTTCATAAAGGGCTGGGTTTGAAACAGTTTGCTGGGGCTAATATTTCGTGTCTTTTCTTCCTTGCCGTTTTGTTTTCACTTTAGTGCTACCCAGCCATATCTATCTGCGTTTCATCCAACTAGAAGTTAGCTTATGTGGTAGTTCTTTTGTGTTTGCTTGATTGACATTTTAACACTGGCACCGTAGACAGCGTTGTAGCAAACGCTTCCGGGTGGTTTACGGCCACGACCAGTGTCGCTTCATATGCTAAATAGCATTCCTGCAGGACACAGGACGTCTTTTTCAGTCCATCGGTTAAGGGTCGTCACAGATTCTTCCATTCGCAAGCGATATCTTTAATTTACCACTCTAAAGTTTAGCATTTAGTAATGGAAATGGAAATCACCGTGATTGTCCTTCAGGATCGAGTTCGCTTTTACTGCTACCAATGTTGTGCTCTGAGTCGAGAAGGTCTAAGGGACCACCGGCACGGCTTAAAGGCCGTGCCATGGAGCCTAAGTACAATGGCCTAGCCTCCAGTACCCTAGTAACCAAAATCTTAGGATACTTTTTGAGAAGAGAGAACATCCTTATGCAGTGGTAATTACTAGTGACGACGATGTGCCTGCGAAATTTAAAGGCTCCTTCTTGACACAACTTGGTATCAATTCGCATGAAATGTTCTTGCAATGGAAGAAACTGTCAAAGGTGCAATACTTGTTTGTATCGGAATCAAAACTTAAAATAATACAAACGCAAAAGAGTAACTTTGGACACCAGAATGCAGCCTTCATGGCCATGGCAAGAAGTCCCCTTCTTTCGGCAGTGCGTGCAAAATTAATGCCCTTTCCAAGAGCGCCTTCACGCCCCCACCTCTAGGAGGAGGCCGAAACTGATATTTCAAAATATTGTTTTCTATGAGGAGAAGACCAAATTGCCAAAAAATTACAAAAGTAGCCAAATAACTTAGCAATTTTAATTGTCGATATCAAGAATTACTTTTTACGCGAGATAATATCTTTTGCATTTAGATTCTGGTATTTTGAATAATGTGTTGTTTTTTGACCACCATTGTGTGCAAAAACTGCAGTTATTGTCTTTGAAGTCTGGATTTCTGAAATTGTATTCTTTTTCCCCACATTGTACTGCTTCGCTTGACGGCATTGAAGTAGCGTGCTCTGTCAGTCTCCTGACTGTCATTACTATGGTCTAATTCCATTTTATATTCTGCTCTGAATATTGCCATTATGAGTAAAATATTGGATGGCACAGCATACTGATTAATAGAATGGGAGATGAAAATGTCCAAACCATCAATGTCGATAAATTTGTCGTAACCGAATATTCTTCCGGTTATCAAAAGATATTGATAAAGCTTACTTGATTCCACGAAAAAAAATTGTTTGATAGTTGTTTTTGGTGAGTGGTCCAACTTTTCTCGGAGTTATCAGCAGTGATGTCGTATCTCCCACCTCCAACTTATGGGCGCCACAGAAAGCGGCCACCCTATCTGTTCATTTACACGACACAAGTTATAATTCCTTAATCCCTCCTGCTAGCCGGTCCTTAAGCGCATGTCTGTATTTTTAAGCCTTAAGCTGTTGGAGGAGGCTCTTTGAATAATAAAAAATTGACACGATTGGCTGGACTGTATTCTAATGAGGAAAGATGATGGGAGAGTTTAGCCCTAAAACCACCGTTCCCATATGCCATCCTATGAAGATGTTTAAATGCTTGCGAAATTCGACACAAAACGGAATTTCGGTTTTACATTTGTACTTACAAGCTTGGGCACTTAGTTACTCGGGTTTATCCAATCCAATGTACTGATCTTATCACTCGTAGTGTGCCACGTTCCAGCGTATGGTGTGCTGCGGAAGGTGCCGTTTGCAGAACAATAGACGCTGCTTCAGTGATCTGCTGATTTTGTCGTTTGCCAAGTTGACGCCACAGTATCCCCTATATGCAAGACGGTGTCCTGCTTTTGTCGGGTGAGGTAGTCCCTTGGACAGACCATGTTGGAAACTCGGCGGGCAGGTGCGCTGTCCTGGAAAACGTTCATCACGCTGGGTGAGTGAGTTAGTTTAATATAGTGCGCCCTCTTGTTCATGTAGTAGTCCTCCAGCTCTTTCCTACGCTTACAATACTTTTTCTTCCTGGTATTATGACTACTTCCAAGTTCAGGAAAGACTCAAGGCGCTACGTTAATGGGAGCAGAAGGCGGACCCGATCCTAAAATGCTGCTACTCTTTGCTACAATTGTGTGTTATAACTTAACGTGACCGAAGAAGGGCATACACTGCAAATGGGTTAAACGGTGACAACCCTTAAAAGAAGGGCTGAGAATGACCTCTACCTTTGGCACCTACCCCAGTCCCATGTTCTGCAGCAGCGCTCTTAATAACTAAGGCGAGCGACACTAGCCGTGACCGAAAACCCTCCGCAAAATTTAGTTGTGAGATGTCTACGGTACCTGTAGGAAGATGTCCATAAAGTGAACACGAGATACCTCCTTCACCTCTCTACTAGCTGGATATAACCCAGATAGATATGGATGGGCAGCAATTAAGTGAGACTAAAGTAGCAAGGATGAAGAGACGTGAAACCTCATTCCTACACAACTATTTCAAACTACGTCCTCTATTAAATGACTGCTTTTAGGTCCGTGTTCCTATGACTACCGATAGAAATGCGAGATAATGGTAACATTTTTACCCAATACTGTTCTCAAGTGGCATTGCCAAGAGGGATCGTTGGCGTTGTAGTTAAATTATTTCTTAGTTGCAGGCAAATTTAATGGCTGGTGCAGGTAATTGGTAAATGTTTTCCTCACAGCACTACGTTGTGGTGATCGGCGCAAGATTTTGGCCATGGCGAGCCCCGGGGTGGGTGGGGTGCCAGGCTATGCTTAACCCTTCATTTTTGTAACGCTGGGAGACAGGGTCTCTGGGTCATACCTGTAGCCACGCCAGCCCTTCTGTACCCCAGCAGTACTCGTTCGGACCAAGTATTATATCTTCAGTCGACTTCAGAAAAGACTTGAGGCGTTGCGATAGCACAAAATTTCATCATAAAAAGCAATGTTTTTATACACTCAATTAAAATAACTTAGGATGCTTCCATTGTGTTAATTTTTTTTGACTAGTAGCTAGCATCCTCACTTTTCCCTGATATTTAAGAAGAATTACGGAAACATTTAATTGCACATAAACACTGAAATGCAAAAGGTCAAAAGGGTCCAAATTAATGCGAGACAAACAGAATTCATTAAATCCGATCCGCTGTTGACGGCGGGGCAGTTCGTGAATCTCATCCACGTAAATGTCACGTCGCCCTTATTTGCCTTTTCAGAGGTGTGCGTGTGTGTGAGCAAAAGTATTATGGAAATCGGAAAAGGTCATTAAATTTTTAATCACCAGTTTTGAAATTGTCAACAGAAGTAACAACTAAGTTTTTTTGTCCAGTCATGCGGACCCAACTAAGACACTGAACAGCTACGAGTGTTAGTAGAGAAGGGGGTGTACGTAAATTTTATTTGGGTGTAACATGTATGTGCCTGCAATTTGTTTGCCGAATCAAAAAATCCGGAGGTCTTGTTTAAAGACGACACTGATTCACGCCATCGCACTAGTTCTACACTTCCAGTAGAGTTGTCCAGGAGATCCATTACGTCTAATTTTCGTAGTGAATGCGCTTCTGTCTAAACACGGGAATTAGTTTTAAGTCACTCTGCGGAGCGTATATTTAAAAGTCTCACAGTGCGAATAGAACAGCATGAATAATATGTGAAGACTTGTCCATCCCTTTACTTTTATTGTAGGTGTCGCAGTCTTCCACAAAGCTGTAAATAGTCATAGTAGTCCGGCTGAGAGGCTATTGGCATGGCCTGGATGTCGTGCCGCCATGTAGGGGGAGCAGCCGTAAAGACTTAAGTGTCCGCCTCATCAGGTTCAGAGTTAAACAGTCAGAGCATTACATAGCCCCTCTATTTATTTAAGCTTCGTCAGTGACGCTCCCCTTATTTTAAATTCCCGCCTCGGCCATCAAAACACAGTCGGTGCTTCAAAAATAGACACCTACTTATCAGCCGTGTCAGTCATAGAGTTTGAGCCAAACTCAGAAGATATTCCACCCCAACGTCACTGGATCTGTGGTGTCGTCCTTTTTAGGGACTGCATCAAGGGAGCGGGAAATGTTCTTGCCATCTGGCATGCCCATCGCTTGTTGAAAGACGACTGGTCGCAAAGCAGGGTCATTTTAATAAAGGACTGGTTTAAGATAGTCTTGCAGGGATAAAATTTCGCGTTCTCGCTCCAGTTCTTTCTAGTTATATCTATCCAAATTCTATCCATTAAGTAGAAGTGGAGGAGGTATTGTGCTATAAACAGCTCCGTAACGAACTTTTCCAGGTGGTTTATGGTCACGGCTGGTGTCGTTTTGGTCAGCTTTCGCATTCCCAAAGAAGACGTGACTGGGAGAGTTGTTGAAGACGAACGTCGTTTTCAACCCTTCTTTTAGCATTCGTCATAGATTATGTCATCCGCAGTAAGATACCTCTCTTTCGGCAGTAATGGAAATCAAAGTATTTGTCCTTCTGGATAGAGTGTTTACCGCTGCCACGGCTGAAACCTCCGAGTCTTTCCAAACGTCGTGAAAAACAGCAGTCTGGCAGACGATATACTACTGACATACAAAAGGACTATGAGGCAAGCACAATCAATGGTGACTTGAGTATTCAGGTCAAAAAGCCCAGAGTTAAACAAACGATCGTCTTTATATGCCTTCTAATCTTGTCTCCATCTTATTCATCAGCTAGAAAGTCCGCGTTATTTAGTATTCGGTTTTACTGTTCTTTTCTCAAAGATGGCATCAAAGAAGTTATTACTTGTTGCAATGAAGAGATTTTTGTTAACGAATCATTCCCCTTTTGACTCTTTTGATTTGGAAGCCTCAGTATGGAGCATTCGCAAAAGTCTGGCCTACTGGGTCAGTTAATGCTTGCTATCAATTACAGATGTGTTAACCCATTGTATCGAAATCTTGTCTTAGATGAGGAGTGTGGTCCCGGTGGTGCAGTACTTCACACCGCGTCATTTGTTATGTAGGTGTATTTCCAACGCCAATTCAAAGAAAAAAAATAGAATAACAGGTAAGAAAGAATACCGTACCCGGCTCTTTTACCAAAAGCTAACGTTGTTTCCATTAACGTGGCCCAATATTGCCCTCATGTAGACGGTCAAGAATGCGGAAATGGATGATCGACTGAGCCCCTGCTTTCAAGATTTCCTTTCTTAGCTCTCTTGCGGCTTCCATTTTCGTGAAGATGGTTGTCTTAAAGGGACACAAAAGTGGGGCAATTTTTTATGCACTTCATCATCCAAGATTCCTCCACCTCTGCCACGGAGCTCGGAATAATCACCCCTCTTAAAATAACATCCCCGGGGTAGCTCAACTACCCGAATCTATTTACCAGTCCACAAAGGAATTGCTGAGAATGTTTTCTCCGAATTCCATTATGTTTACGATTCTTTTTAGGCGGCCAGGACGAGTCGGGTTCAATAGAGAACTTATTTTGTGGATGTTACAGCCTTTCAGAGCCATGATGTCCATTTCGTGGGGCAATTTCATACACCCTGGCTGCTTTTCTTCCCACCTTTCACCACTTCAAAGTGTATCACTAGACATTTTATTATCTTGAGCGAATCTACTTAATTTACTTAAGAAATAGAGGTTACGGACGCAGTAGACATCTCACTACCGGATGATTTAGTGGGACACAATTTTTAAAAAGCGCAAAAAATATACGCCTTGTATTCCTGCAAATCTTGACGTCCACCTGCAGTGGGCCACATTCACCCTCTCAGCGTGTCAGTAGTCTCATCACCAGGCCATCGCAATTATGGTAGACGTCAAAAAAACTGTGACAGGCAGTCCGGATTTGCTAGTGCTTTTCTTTTGCCACTTTCTACAAGAGGATACAATTAATAAAGGAGGTTATCTAGGCGTGACCACTGCAAATAATGTTATATTAAACACTTGGGATTTGACTTCATTACTGATTTATTCATTCGTACTTTTTGTTGCCTGAGATGCTCCGCTTCTTGCACCGCTTTGAGTTTTAGATCAGTGGCTTTGGAACCGCCTGCGTACCATGAAATTCCATACAATTATGCAAACAAAAATCAAAAACGATGTTTAGTGTCAAAATTTCTGGTTGTAGACTTCTTGTACTCACCAGTCTGTTAACGGGGACTGCAACTGTCACACAAATTGGATGGTAAGCTCAGTCTGCTAAAATTATTTTGAATACCATTGTACTACGTGCCTGTGTGAATGTACCTCTTGGGCGAGAGGCGGTGAGTAAACACGACCCTTGAGACGGATGGGACGCCATCGGCCCTCGATGAGGGGAAACGTACCCTGAACATGCTTAACTGTGATAGCGGTGCCCCTTTAGCCATCGCCACCCCTAAAGCATGTCCTCGTTCAACTCGTCTACCCGTTGCGAGGATATGGAGGCGGAGGTGGAAGAGCGAAACGCCGATTCCATTGCAGCCATCAAGTAGCTGAAAAAGGCCTCGTTGCCTGTCCTAGTGAATGGGAGTGTTGTCCCGGCCATCGCAAATAATGCATCACGTGACAGCGGTTTGTTATGCTGTGCCGACTCAGTGAGTCGCTCTGATTTACATCCATGAATAGAGCTTTTGTAAGCGAGCGGTGAGACCCTTGGGTAAATATGAGTGGATTATTCTAACTCACTTAGACGGTCTCTCCTGGCGGATAACTCAATTGCTCGGGAAGGACTCTCCCTACTCCCCCCTCACATTTTTCCCTCAAACGTGTCTGCTAGGTTCAGACGCAAAAACTAAACCTGGTCTGCCTTTGGAAAAAAGGGGTGTTGGCCCAAAGGTTACTTGATTTTGCGTTTATAGGGTAGTTTCTTAATGTTAATGAACAAAAGCTTTATACAAATACTGTGCTTTATGAGCTGAACTTTTTTCCAATCCCTGTCATGGAAGTGTTGTGCTTTGAGTCTTACCTATACTCGTAAGAAGCCATAGTAGTATGGTAGAAGATATGTTACTGACGTTCAAAAGAGCTGAGGCTACCGGCAGGATCAAATGTAGTGTTAAAAAACTATTAGTGTGTTACAGTAGATTTGAGTGCCGGAGAAAACCATATCTCCATCCATAAACGTTCCTCATCGTGGGGTGAGAAATGGTTAAATACTCCGCTTAATGGAGGCTGCTCTAGTTTGGGCAACTTTTTTTGCTCTAGAATGAATAAAATGTGTGACGGTTATTACATGTGTGATTTGCTGCCTTAAAGTTGGTGCATAAAATAGGCGTGGAGAAGTGAATTCTCCATTGAAGGTCTTGCGTGCGTCCTGAGCCTCCCGCCCTCACCCTCCCTCGCATAAACCTTTCACGCAAGGGTTGAGCTTTAAAATGCCCGTTTTGACTTCCCCCTCGGTGGATGATCCATTCAGAATATGTGATCAAGAAATTAAATACCAAATAATGGAGAAAAAGTGTCTTTGAAAGTAATGGCGTGGTTTTAAGCTTTATGGAATTTAGCAAGGAATTACATATACAATTTTGTTTGTTCAAAATGATTTTGCTGGTTTCCAAGTGTCGAAAAAAGTGTCGAAATTCTTCCGCGATGCCTACTTTTTTTCCTAACAAAACAACCCATCAGTATTTAATCTATGCAAAATACAACGTCCTTTGTGAATAAGCACTTTTGAAGGCTCTGGTTGTTTTCTTACCAGCACCCCACTATTTATGTCGGTAAAACGTGCTTGCGTAACTCTGGGTTTTGGTAACGGGCCACTTGCCTGTAGCCTCAGGCCCTTTTGTGGATTGATAATACATATTCCGCCCGAGTATTCCGTCGCCTTTCATCTTCAGGAAGGTGTCGAGGGGCTACAATGACCACGTAGAACGTGTAACAGAAGATGAGAATTCTTTCCTTACCTAAAGCTATGGTCACAATTAAAAATGGGAAAATGGACAGTTTTGCCAGGAATTTAATGGAAAACATAAGAATGAGGTTTATGGAGAAGAAATAAAGCAGTGATCATTCGGCCAGGTTCAACCACTAATTAAAAATGCACATCCCGTGAATTATAAAACGATCGCAAAAAAAGAACGCTTTGTGAATTAACTTGTCACGTAGGGCACCTAAAAAGTTGGTGAAGAGTGCCGCTAAATTATCACAAGTTTGTGAATGCATATTAGTTCCCATTTGGCATAAAAATAAACTATGCTACCACTAAGTCTGCGTTTCATCTAGAGGTTTCAAAAATTTCTGGACTGTACATTCACTTTTAATTCTATGAGTAGCTACTTCAATTTTCAATACAATTTAGGCTTGACTACCCAATTTTCTGACGCATGTAATAGTTTCGCCAGGGAGTATCATGTAGAAGGATTGTATAGAATGCGTCAGTTCACTTATAGCAATTAACTTGCATAAAATACCTTAGTGATATGATGTGCATAACACGGAAGTCGTTTCAGAAAGTACCAGCTACAAACACTTACTTAAAAAAACAGTTGGAACTTGGCAGGGAGGTACGCCAGACTATTCAATAGGAGCATGGAGTTCATGACAGACTTGACATTTAACAATCTCAGTAAGCAATTAGAGGTCATTGCTGAAGCGTTCATTAAACCGATGGGTTGTTTCCAGTTACTTTGAAAGATCCTTTTCAGAACGTTACTCGTTCGCTTATGCCAAAAATTGTCCATCATCGAAAAAGACTTCTTTAAAGTAAACCATGCTTCGTTTAGCACTTCCTAAATTTCCTAAAAAGTTATTTAGAGCTACACGAGATTATATGTGACAGAGGACTGTGCAATAGTGGTATTTTGATAATTGAGTAGACGAATTTACCATCGTTTAACACTATCTCAAAGTGATAATGCTGTTTCGAAACCTTCCTAATTGCAATAAATTGGTGCTAAAACTTTTTGAAATCGACCAACTACTCGGTAGTCCAAGGTCTTAAAACTTATTGCGTTTTACTTGTATCACTTCCAAATGTGGCTCATCAACATGACCTTACTTACAAAATGAGTTGCCTTAGTTCTTATGTGACTCGTTGCTGTAATAAAAGCTGTAAACAAATAACAAATAATCAAGTATTGTAAAAACAATTTAAGATCTGAGCATCAGACCAATTTATATCGAACTAGACTGTTTTTTTGCCATTTATTCATAGGGATTAGTTGCTTACATTACTTGAAATTCGGTAATAAATTACGGCTTACTATTTTAGTTTTAATGCAGTTTATGGTAAGCTGATGTTTATAACGTGTACAATTTTGCCGCCAAATCTAATGATTATCAGGGTTGTACAAAGGTAAAATCTTAGCCTTCGCCCTTACTGGCCTTCTCTCTGCCCAATTGCATCCCCAATATGCCGGTTCCAATGCTTAAGGTGTTAGACTTCAAGATACCCTGCATCGGTTTTGGGACCTATAAGGTTTTTTGGTTTTCTTGAATCGACAAAGTTGTCCCCAATTAGCTATCGGCCGAAGATGTGGTTCCCGCCCTTAATGCGGCATTAGAGGCTGGCTATCGGCACATTGACTGCGCTCATTTGTACCAGAACGAAGAGGCCATTGGAAATGCCTTAAAAGCATGGTTTGATAATAAGAAGATTGAGAGAGAGGATTTGTTTGTAACATCTAAGGTGGGTTAAAGCCTTTAGATTATTCAAAGCTTTGGAATACGTCTCATAGACCTGACATGGTTAAGGCCGCTTGCCTTAAAAGTTTGGAGCAACTAAAACTATCCTATTTGGACCTCTATCTTGTTCACTGGCCAGTAGCCTACAAAGTATGATGGTGATATTTTAATTCAGTCAACCGTTTTAGCCGAGTGATGTATTGGTTCCCACAGATGAAAACGGAAAGACAATTTTTGATGATGTTGAACTTGAGGCGACATGGAAGGTACGTGGATTTTATTCTTGTGAAACGCGGTTCAGGCGATGGAAAACCTGGTGAGAGAGGGCTTGGTTCTTCACATAGGCTTGTCAAACTTTAACGAATCGCAAGTGCAACGTATCCTCGATTGTGCTAGCATCAAGCCGGTTATGCTACAAATTGAAAGCAATCCGCACTTTCCCAACCAGAAACTGATAGACTTTGCCAGTTCTAGGGGGATTCTTTCCACCGGCTTCGCTCCACTTGGCTCGCCATATCGTGAAGTGTAAGAAGGGGGTAATAGGGGTAGTTGAGAGCTGCATTATCTATAAAAAGTGACGAGTTCTTTTGCATTTTTGAAGAGGCGATAGACCACATCGCCTAATCGACGAACCCTTGTTAGTGGAGATAGGCAAGAAATATGGCAAGACGCCGGCTCAAGTCGCTATTCGTCACGGAATCCAACGCGGAATTTGTGTTGTACCCAAAACTCGAACACCGGAGAGAGTAAAAGAGGATTTTCAGGTGAGTACTGGGCGTCAAGCTTGAAATTGGTCTTTAATGTAGGGCTGACCAGAGCACCTTCCACCCTTGTAACGTCTTTTTTCTCGTATGTAGGTTTTCGATTTTGAACTCACATGTGACGAGATGAGGGAAATCGGCACCCTTGGCATTTACCAGCGTCAAATTCGTGCAGACCCGTAGGTTTCTACCACTTTCTCCAACCTTAGCGCTAAAATTAAACTCATGACACTTCTTTTGGCTCTTTCAGGATGCGCGGTAACCCCGAGTTTCCTTTCCTCGATCTACTCTAACTCAAATCTTAGGCAGATGCGAAAGAATTAGCAGTAATTCATGATTTTTTCCCTCCGAATAGACCATGCATTTTTATCAAAAAAGCATTACATGATTATGAATCAATCTGTATAACAAGGTTCTAGATGAGGGTTACACTTCCACTTTTGGTGTGTTTCTGAACAGCTCGGTATGGAAGAAGATGTATCTCTCCTGGCATTAGGGTGAGCACTTCAGATCTGCAAAAAGCACAGTTTATACAGCTTTGAAGAGGTTCTACTGACTCATTTTCGTGGAAAAAGCGAAACTTACGATGCACCGGAGGGGTCGGTGTTTGTTACTTCAATCCGTGAATGTACTTGACAAAAAACGTAGGCGTCTAGATTCGGTCGGAAGGCTGGAAGAGCAGCAAAGTGTACGAACTTTCTGCAAAACAAAACAAGCCTAGCTACTGGGCCACATACCAATGGCGTCTTGGTCAACTTTGCTCATATTGTGAGGAAGATGATCTAACACTGTGAAGCGCAGGTTTTCAATCGTCAAGTCGTCGAATCTGTTTAGAGGAAGACAGTTTTGTGCATAGCAATAGTCTTGTAGCCCCAAAGAGGTTTTTACGGATAAGAAATTAACGCCGTCTTACGTTTTAGTGAAGGTGAATTCCGCAGGAGTGAGATGCGGATCCTCGGTCTGTGGTCTGGAGCGCTCCTCGCTAATCACGTAGTGTGGAAATTGCTCAATCTGAAATAATGCCGAAAATTAGTAAATATTTAAATTAGGGTCGACAATCATCCCAAAGCATGCATTTCCACCTTTCTGATGCGTGTCCGAAGATAGTCCGTGAGAAGGTATCGAAGACGCTCTGCCTGAACAAAGAACAAGGCCGATGTGGAGTAAAGGATAGTGTCAGTTGGTATACGTAAGCAATGGGACCGGAGATTACCTGCATCCGTATGAGTTGGGCTCTGATATCACCTTTGGGTAAGCTCTTAGCTTGCGTCTCAAAGTTGGTCACCTCCCTGCTAATCAAGGCCACAGCGTCTATCTGCGCCGGCATTAGCTCCGGTGCGATTTTTTCATTCTGCCAGATCTACAAATCGCACAAGCGCAAATCGCCATCGTACCCAGAAGACGGCCAGAAGATAGGTTACCAGAAGGCATACCTTGTAAAAGCGCTTAATGAGTTGTGGCAATGTGACACTTTCGGTGGCTTGAGAAGATGATGGTTGTCCTAACGGTCCGAATAATTCCACGTTCTCCTCGTCCGAACCACCGATTATCTCGTCAATGTCCGGTGCAGACGTCTGAAAGGTTTCACCGGGATGTGATCACGAATAGCTAATGAATTCCGGGGAGAATGATTTAGCGTTCCTAGGACTCAGGTCCAGCCGTACAATTCGTGTTTATAGCTCTTTACTGATATTCAGGCGAAGGTGTTTTCAATTAATGCTCTAAATGCACCGACCTTAAATGAGTCATTCCATAAACGATCACAATGTAGCAAGCTAACCAAAGAAGTAACGTTTTACAGCAAACGTTTATTTCTTAGAAATGGGACATTTAAAAGTGAAAGACTGTCACATTTGACGGCAGGTGTTCTCACCCTTTGGCCAGGAGCTACCTGTAATTAAGAATGTCGTGGTAATATAAGCATAATGGGAGTAAATAACTGGGATAATTTTAGAATGGCTTAACCGAATATTCACCCTGCTGGGAAGAAGACTGGTCTGGCTTGGGAAGAAGAGGGACAGGTTCCAAGGGTAGTTTGATTTCTTTCAAATTCCGTTTGTATCCCACTGTAGATTTGCGTTTTGTTACGCAGCGCATCGCTAGTTCAAATGCGTTAAGGATAAATGGAGCAAAAGAGATAATAGCTATCTGAATGACTGATAACATTTAAGAAAAAATAAATTTACTTCACCAAACTTCCTTTCACAGTAAAAAAAGGCTAGCACTTACAGATGTGGGAAAGGAGATCACACTTCCTGGTGTACGTTGCAAGAAGACAAAAGGGGCAGAGAAAGCGCGGAACCGTGTGTAACTCCCGAACATGAGCACGAACGCCTTTAGCGATTTCGACGGCACAGAGCCTGCTGACACCGCAACGGAGCTCATCATACCACAGGCACATGCTTTGTTCTTCCTTTGCTCCTACGTGCCCCAACACATGTTCACAGAATTCGTTTGGATTTTCATATCTATTTTAAGAGAACAGTAAAATAAATTTTCCACAACACACTAACCGTTTAAAAAACTTACTTGAGCCGACACTCGCTCCACCTGCAATGAAGGCCGTCATAATCGGTGGACTGGAGATGCTCAAGGAACCAATTTGACCTCGCCTTGTGACAGCCACATGGTACGGCCATATCATCCCTCTTTGAAAGACACTTCATTACTATTTCAGGTCGTTCCTTAATAGCTTCCAAGGCGCTATTACGACAAACATTAGAGTAGGCATGCAGGAAGAGGTGAGGTCGACTAAAGTTTTTTCTTACAGGGCAACCCATCCAGAGGCACATCGGCGAGGAAGTCAGATGATCTTCTGCATGTTCTAAAAGTTCTTTCAGTGATGCAAATCCTTTGGTGCTACTCATACAGCCGATCCACGAACAAAAGAAACCTGTACGAAAGGCGATATTGTTGCTCTTTCTCGGATCATTTACGGCTTGAGCTAGAACCTCATCAATGGTTTCAAAGGTTTTCAGACATTTAGGACAAACAAAAGCCTTAAAATCCTCCATTTTAGCGCAATTTTCCTGCTTGCAGGTACGGAGATGATCAAAGAGTACAAGAAATGAGTCTGTCGAGAAACCACAGGCACATTCATAATCAAAAGGTAGATGCTCAGAATAAGAATTGCACTTTTTTATACAGGATATGGGTGCAGGGAGTAAAGGACGATTGCGTTGAATGAGGTATTCAACGAAGGCATGAAACTTGACATGACGAATGAAGGTAGCTAAGCGGACGGAACAGCAGGAACTAATGGGATACACACAATTTGGCCAACCACAGGAATAGTCGGAGCCGCGGATGTAACCATTACTTGTGGTCTTGGGAATGTGTGCAGAAATGAGGTGGACCTCAAGCTGAGGTATGTCCGGTAAAATCTGACTGCAGTTTGACCAACGACAAGCCACACCACTCATTGTACAAGCCCTATGAATTAGAAAACAGTAAGCATTTAGAGAGATGAAAGCGACCTCCGATCCACCACGCAAAATCCCCCCATCTGTAAAGGCGAAAAAGTACCAGAGGACGACAGGCTGCACTTCTTCCAAAAGTGTACCGATTTCTTGAAGTACGTGGCTACTTAACTAACGGAGTCCCAAACTACCTCATGCTTCTTGCCTGACTATATAAAATACGGCTAAAAGTTGTATAAAACTATGCCAGCACAATTTTTTAAAAGCCCAAACTGTATACTAGCCAATAAAAAATGAAGAAAGCGAAGATCCTTGAAATCGGAGCAATACCTTTTATTCTCAATGAACATAAACAAACCAATTGAGACCACTGAAATCCAGTGCTAAAAGGTAATACATTTTCGTCAAGAAAGCAAGTTATCTTGCACTGCCATATTAATCAAATTTTCATTCGTGCAGAATATTAAGAAAGAGAAGGAGATAAAGCATACCATAAAATGGTTTTCGTCTAATTCAGTTCTCTATTTCTGTAGCTTCCAGAAACTGGCATACAAAAATCTAGTAGTTAGGCTAAAAACGACGTTTAGACACCAACATTAGCAATATAAATGACCTTATTATGGGATCCGAAAATAATCATATGAACCCAATTTCAGTCTTTTATTTCCTGTCTGACAATTCTTACTATGTGTAGCTCCTTGAGACTTTCCTGAAGATAAAATTAGGGCACAATACTTATCCAGAGTATACACATTCAAAATACAGTAGGGTTTGACGGATACTGACACGGCCCATAGGCCAGCCCACCCAACGAAGTCAAAAAAACATTCATTGTAGTTCGCATGCTTCAAGAAACACATTTGGTTTTCGTGACGAAACACAAACATACACCATTCGCGTGTACCCTTCGGCACACAACGTAATTGGTATACTTGCCGCTCGGCTCTCGGCCATGGCTCATACTACCTAAAATGTACAACCCTGCCCTTTCCCCGATAATATATCTTGGAAAACTCGCCCCAGTACTAGTTATTCAGTCTCTTCGCTGAATGACGTGATGCCCTTTACCTCCGATCAATGGAACGCCATCACACACAGCTAAATCAGCTTGAAAATGTTCTGCCATGAACAACAACATGTGCGGCAGATAAGCCAGTCCGCGCGCAGCACCTAACCGGTACGCCGGATGAGGTTCCTCTGTGTGTGCCTAATGCCGCAAGCCAAGCATGATTCACAATAACGAACATATTCGGATACAAACTGCTCGCTTTATTCAGTGGCACATAAAATACACACCGCGTGGCAGATAAATAATCGAACCGGAACCTATGTATAATGAAGGAAGGACTAGTTGTGACGCGAGACCCCTGCATGAAACATTAATGCGTCCAGAAAAAGGATAATGGCATTCAAAAAGATCGTACAAAGTCATACCTAATAGGGTGTACTAAGTTGGTAGTGAAGGTCCCTATACAATTTTACAAATCAGAGCGCGGTATTTTGTCCCTGTTCTTTTCCGCCATTTCAATGAAATCACTCTTATCCATGCAACCGGTGCACTCGACACCGATAAATGCAAGTGTCTGCTTCAGTTCTTTGACACTCATTTTCTTGAAATCAGCATCATGACTGGGCACAAATTCTAGAAAGAGAATTAAATTGTACAAACAGCATACGATGCATAATTTCACATATCTGTGGATCATTTTTAGCCAGATTCTGGCATATTTTTTCAGCAGGAACTGAAATTGATAATTGACGAGCAACCTCATTTACGACTCGCGTTGGTGAATTTGGAAGGGCACCGACATTCGAACACTATAAATCTAGTAAAAATAAACAACCGTACAATCTTCCTCTGTTTTCCGGTGAAGGTGGAGCAGGTGTCATCAATAGTTTTAACAACATCGGAACCCTTATTTGCATCGACGGCTTCCTGCAACTTATTCATCACTTCGATACACACTAAAAGCCAGAGCTTGAAGGGCAAAATTTACCTCACCTTGGCATTTCTTCTGAGCGGCGTCAGTAATTGCATTTAGTAAGAGTAGGGACAAAAGTAGGGGAACGAAATAAAGGCCACACCGCATCACCAGAATCATGAACTGGCGCGTACACCTGGCATAACCTGTATTTTTTAATCGAAACATATAAACAAGACCCTGCATAATTTCTGATTGTAAAAAAAATCAAACCATTTTTTAAGTAAATTTTGTTAGAGATATACTTTTATTTGTCAGAGCTGTTTTTTGAAACAAAATGTGCTATGAGGCCTTCCAACTATATTAATGAAATGAGCAATTCGGGCCACAGGATAAGTAATTTCGGCACCTAATCACAAAAAAAACATTATTTTTTAAAACCTACTTTTTGCAAATGTCTGCTTAATTTAAGAGCTTATCGACAGGTTAACAAAGTATTTTTCTGGTAGTGATGTAATCGTGGGATTCTTGTAAAGCACCATTTATAGCTGCTGTCTAGCAAGAATGAGCCCAAAAATTTGTTTTTTTACTTTAGTGATTGAACCCATCTCCTACTTTGACTGAGGTACTCTCATTATCGATGCATATTCCCTATTTGGAAAATGATTCGATCTTTGTTTATATTGCACGCAACAGTTCATTATAATCGTCAGTCACACCACGATTAATTATAGCCCTAACATTTATCAAAATAAAGGCAAGTTGCGGTCTAATTTGTATGAAAATGGATGTACTTTTAATGGGTACACAAGAAGGTAATTGAAAAAGTCAGTTCCATTTCCTGAAAACGAAGCTGTAAAAGAAGAAATGTAATATTTACGTTTAACATTTGAAAAAGTCTTATCCAAAAGTAACTTACTCAAGTGAATGATACCCAATTTTTCCTTTGACCACCGCAATCAGTATCAACATGCAATTCCCTCCAAGTATTAGCCAACGCAGTACAGATTCTGAAATACATTACTAGGTCAGTCAAATAATAGTGCAATTCTATGCCATGATTTAACAAAGTAGCCCTAGCAATGCATGCAGAACCTTGTTTATACATGACGTTTGTGAGCTCAACAACACATTCATGAGACCGCCTCAACCCTAGGCGAGCATAATGCCGGTGTTGGCAGGCCCTAAAAACATTTTGTTATGTGTAAAAGTCACCTAATCCCCTGCAAAAAAAAGGACACAAAATTTTTTAAAAACTTTGCCAATATAAATCGATAACCATCAAATTAATTTGCCAGGCTCTTAATGAATCGTTTGGAACCGGAGTCTCCAAGAAAAGTTCACCACCATGACCCGGGTGTTTTATGACGCTACCCATCACTGGCTTTGTGACCGGCTCTACCGCTACTGGAGTACTAGAAAACACAATTGTCCTCAGCTCAAGAACAAGTTATACGTGTTTTACTATGTCAAACGCAACTAATCCACCAACTGAACAATTCGGTACAAACTGAAAACGAAAGCATTTTTTTTGACCAGTTCACACGGGGGAATCACACCGCCACGTACACACGAAAAAGTGTGGTCCTAATTTGAATTGCCTATTCCAGAGCAAAAAAAACCATAAAGTTTAAACGGACTGAAAGGCTCACTTCTACTTTTCAACGGGCAGTATTGGACGAGGCCGATTAGCGTTCCGCTAATGAAGGCATCTACTAAAGCTAAGGAAGCGCCTTCGCTTTCTTGCCAGATCCATATATCAACAACACAAATGCACAATTAAGAAGCCATGGTGGACACAATGCATGATAGATAATGTCCTCCAAAAGGATACACAGAAGTGAAATGATGATCACTTCACTAAAGGATTGACTGCGTCTGCCTCTCTTAAAGGCCAAGAGCTAGCCAGTTCTGTCGATTGAGGGCATTAAGGGACTTACCGATTTCCGGTGATCGCTCCAAAATGGCTCCTTGCGTATTGAACAGAAGGCGTATCCCGACACCATTAGGATGACGAAAGCCTGTCAAGTAAATTTATGCCAGCATTGTTAGGTAATTTTAACCTTTTTATGCTGACATGACTGTGTAAAATGAACGAAATAGTGCGCAAGACATGGACCTTTCTACTCAAGTTTTGGTTTCGCGGGAACTTAAGGCTTGGTCGTTCTACTTCCAGTGGGGGATACGGTCTCCAGCCCTCTCTGCAGACCTTCTCTACGTCGTCAATATTATATTCTGCCCTGGTATGCTATTCTCTTTAGGCCTCAGGAAAAACTGAGGCATTACCATACTAATTCTTAAAGGTTAGGCTCTCCTATCTTCTCTACAGTCCGTATTTAAGTAAATCCGGCTCAAAATGCATCAAATGGTCCAGCCACTTTCGCCTAATCATTTGCTTCAATTTGCCTTCCACCATGGCAACCATCATCAATCTGAACTGCTTTAATCTGATTCTGAAAGCACTTTAAATCCATTAACTGTAGAATAATTTAATAATTAATTGCCAAACAAAGGAAGAAAACTGGCCTTACCACAGTTGTCAATGCCATTAGTAGTCGGAAAGCGTTCATTTTGTAGCTGCCACTGCCCTGACACAATCCGAGTGAGTCTGTGTGTGTGTGTGGCTCAGACTGGCGACCTAGTGACACTGCGATCGATAAGTCGCGAATCCACGCGGTCCATTGGTCCCCGCCTGTGTCACCACGGCGAGGATTTCACCCCAATCCAATTTCATGAAAGGAGCACTCACTTCAAGCGCACATTCCCATCACTCTCACCACCACATTTATACACGGCAGTCGCCTTGCTCATTGAGACGTGGATGGCCCCCCTCACCGCTGAGGCATCGTGGCCTCCTCGAGGCCTGGTGGCTTAGAAGTCGGGAAGTCCAGAAAATTGTCGGCAAAAAACGCCTCCCACTCGCACCCTTGGATCAGCTGGAACTGCCTATGTCCTTGCTGGCAGGAAGGCTGCAAAGCTACAGCCACTATCACAGAGGGGAGGGATTCGACATCCACCAGATTACTAGTGAAATCCCTTATTTGTAACAATCCAAGGGAAGCTCAGCAACTACTGCACTAAGAAGAATACACTCGAGACTGTGAGCTTCCCAGCAGTCTTGATAGCGTAGGAAAGCAACGTCATCAATTTTGACCAGCAGTTACACGCTCCAAATGCAGTCCGAAGGAGAATATGGCTTGGAGCCATTTTGCAAAACGCAACGCCACTACACTTTAGAAAAAAAGGCGCGGGTTTTTTAAAATATATGAATTTTTTAAAGTACACAATTTATGCATGAAAAAATGAACTGAAGGTCATCTGAAGGCGTTGCAAGTTCAGAGGAATGAGAAGCTGAAAGGAAAGAAGTACGCCAGTTAAAGGTACAATGGAATGGGGAGAAACGAATTTCACTGTTTCGTGTGGCAATGCCACACTGAGTGACACGGGACTGCAAGAGCGATCAGAGACCGCTGTGACCACACAAACCAAAAATAACACCTACGTGCAACAGCAGTGGAGAAAAATAAACTATAAGAGTTAAGTGCCACAAATTGAAGGTCAGCAGTACAGCCTAGTTATGCCTGTCTGAGTTGACTTTTCCATATGATTCAGATGCACAAATGGCATAAATACGAGAGCAACCGGGAAGCCTTAAATGTTTGGAGGATACGAATAACTTACTGGAAGGGTAAGTACCCTGCCTTAAGGGTGTAGTATTCGGCCATCTGATTGAAACCAAGTACTGCCACGCCAACACCGACCAGCACCCGGACTGGAGGATAAAGGTTAGAGAGAAAGCATAGCACTTATTAACGAAATAGAAGGGTAGATATGAAAAAGTAGGGTTTCAACTCACTGCTGTACATAAAGGTATTTTTTCGGAATTTCGAGCACTTGGTTGTGAGAAAGATAAGCCCACCACTGATCATAGCATCTGACCAACAGTAGCAGTTAAGAAAAACAAGTCGCAATTGTAAAAATGAGTGACATTTTACTTAACTGGGAGGCTGGATTCAGCACAAAGGATACAAAAGAGGACAATTAGTAGGCACTCGCAACCAAACTGGGCACGATTTTCAGGATAAAAATAAACTACCTAGAGAAATACAGAGGAATAGAGTAAAATCGGATTACCTTCCCATCTTGAAGAGCCACAAAAGGCATCGAGTTAATAACAACCCACATTAATCCGGAGCACATGCTGCAGATAAATGTCTAAACGGTGAGATTTAAAATAAACAGCACATAAACGGGAGTAGGAAGGGAGTGGATAGGAACATAACCTATAAAACCTACCAAACAAAGCGAAGCAATAAACTTAGTATTTCTCAGCCAAGTAAATTTCTTTAAGACTGCACAAAATAGAAGAACGCAAGCAATAGGTAAAAGGATTGAAAAATCCCTTGAAACAGCGGCTTCAACCTGTAAGAAAAAGGGTGGATGGTAATGCTCAATGCTTGCACCAACATTTATGTCGGAGATTTTAGAAATCCAAGCGGCTATTAGGGCAGGGGTGGCCACAATTTGTGGGTGGCTTGTTCTGTCGCAATCGCCTATACTAGCATGGCGTCCGAAGAACAAAACAAAAGGAGCGGTTTTCACTTGTAGCTATGAAACTCGACATTAATAAAGGTCTTACTAAACGAACCAGTTCTAGGTTGTACACAAAGTCTACAAAACCAAAAAATATTTCCGATGAATTCGGGTGTAGCCTATTCCATTGTCTAGCGACGTTAGAAAGAGCGGCAATGGCAGGTCTAAGCAGGTGAACTTAAAGAGCGTCATACTTGCAATGGTCGCAAGATTCCCCCTTTGTTCCAACCAGAAGAACAAAGGAGTAATTTCGCGGAGAAGAAAGGACGCACTCCTCAAAAAATTCCATATTAACAATGATGAGATCATTATCCCTGGGGGCAGTTTTAAGAGCAAAGATTCTGTCGTCAAGCGATTTCTATACAATGTTAAAAGATAAATATGCGAAAACTCATACTGTATCAGGAGTGACAAATCCAAACGTGAGACATAGCATAAAGATCCGGAACAAAACAATGTGCATTCTGCACACCATGATTTCGCCAAGCGCCAGAGCTCTTGACGAATTACAAACGAAAATTATGGCGCGGATTATTTAAGCATAGATCTGGTTAACTAATTGGGACTGTGCACGTGTTCCCAGGCCACCAGTCATACGGTTCATTTGTGGATGGAATAACACGGCACAAATTTTATAACAGAATTAGATATATAGAAGTCATTCCACTGATATGTAATTTGATAATCAGCTCAAAGCTGCGATGAATGCATAAATTTGTCTAAGAATCGAGGAAAAATAGGAAGAATGGTTTCGGTGCTAGTATTTAAAATATTGAACAAAAAGCAGTTCTAAAGCTTTGGCTGTTGCTAATAAATCAAGCTATTGTTGGTCCATTTCTTCCGCATAAACCACCTACTGGGCAGCTGGTGATGATTCATTTCGAATATTGGGAGTATGGCATGTTAATTGGCTTGCAAAAGTCACTCCAACTTCTGCCAATACTGTGCATAAACGGGTTTTATACGCTAACAGAAAGCAAAGATATTTTATTAGGATTAAGAAACAAGTTGCAACCATTAGAAGCGTATTTCCTATGTATAGTTTCTGGGTGCATGTTGCCTTGTAATCCGTTAGTAAAACATATTGATTACTTTGGATCACGAAATATCCTTTTATCAAATTTTTACCTTCTAGTGGAATTTCACAGCCTTCTAGCTGCTTTACTATTGCATTTTTAGTGTTACATTGGAATAATCCTTACTGCATTTTGCTGATTAAATCAAGTGTTACAGTTGACTAAGTTGCGTTTATGGAGGAAGTCCTTGACGCCCCGCTGTTTATGCGCCAAACAGTGCTCTAGGTCATAGAATTTTTGACCTTAGGGAGTGTCTTCACTTTTAATGCACACCAGATGCTCTTTTTCATGTCCATATAAATCTATCAACGCAGAGAAACTGTTAAAAAGTCTTTTGAGCTAGTAGGACAGGCCTTTTAACTCTCTTGATTCTTACATAAACATTAATTGTAAACTTATGATATTGAATGACAAGACAGAGTGGATTAGTAAATGTCGATCTTAATAGCAGGTGCATTGTACGCATTTAATTGCTACGATGTTGCACTTTGAATAAATGCATATGTGACGTTGGCGTAAGTATTACAAAGGATTGCGGAAATCGGTAGTAAAATTGGGCACTCTAGGTTTTTTATCATATCTCCAATAGTTTTTTACTTTTGAATTGCTTTTTTTAGAGTCTCCTCTTTTTTGAAAGGTTTTTCGAAGGTTCATATCGATTCTGATCTAATAGGTGATAAAAATGTTGGATTGTAAACTTCCTTGACAAACTACTCTATAATTGCCTTTTCATTTTAGGTTTTCTTATTTTGCAAATGAAAGTTGTTCAGTCAGAGCTGAAGAGGAGTAGTTCTGTAGGTAAACTACACTTTAATGACTCCCTTTACTAGACTTTTATTAACCTCTATCTAAGTCCTAATGAGTCCAGACAATATTTTCTGATATTAAGAAAATTCTTTCCCTTTCTCACCTACAACATTGTTTTGAATACCCAATCATGTCATAAGAGCGAACCGTTTATTGAGAAAACAAAGTCACCCCATTTTAAAATATCACAGTATTCGATTGAAAGGCAAGAAAATAAAACGCACTTGCTGATGTATTTGGAATTCACACCCGCGGAACTGCCTAAATACACACACGAAATCACTTTAAGAAAGGAGAATGGCAACCCGATGTTGCTGGTTATTCTTGCCCTTTCGGACTTTCATAAAGTTACCGGACCCGTCAGAGTCACCTTTCCTCGCTGCCTAGTAAATGAAAAGGTTCAGAAACTTATCAAATTTGGTACCACCTTCCAATCTTCACTTAAATTCAGGGCAACGACTTTTGGGTATGAATATATCACCGAGTTACTTTAAGCCCATTCTCGGTTCACACGTCACAAGGCGTGATGTGTGCTGCCAATGAAGCCTGCGTTCTCGTCACTTTTTCCCCAATGGAGACATCAGATCAACAAGGCCTTCTCATCTTTGTTTGCGAAACTGGCAAGTTGAATTAGAATTAACTCAATCGCTTGCACAGGTGAGGAACTTGTGTGCGAACTGAATGGCGAGGGTTACGAAACAGCAGTTGCTTTATCCAAGTCTTCCATAACTTTACCAGACACACTGATGGGCACCCATAGTTTTGCTTCATTTAGTATTCAAAATGACAGCGATGAGACAGTAAATTTCAAGTGGAATTTACAGGTAAGATTGTCTTAAGGAATTTCAATCGTAGGAATACTATGGAGTACTTCTTTTACAACCACCAAATGGAATTTTATTGCCAAAATCACTTCGGGACTTTATTGTCACCTTCAGTCCTGACTCCGAGAAGGAATTTGTCGCCACAGCGCTCTGTACTGTGAGTGGACGTAAAGAACCGCTAGATCTATTACTCTGTGGTCATGGTAGAGGACCAGAGATTGAATTTTCCTTCACCTCACTGAATGTTGGCAAGGTTTTAGTAACGACAACTCAGGCATTTGAGTTGGTACTTCATAACAGAAGTGAGATCAAAGCATCCTTCTTTGCCCATTTAAAATATGAGAATTGTAGAGTCGCTCCACAGAAAGGCGTCATAACTGCTGATGGGTATCAAGTAGTTATGGTGACCCTTTGGTCAACTTCTTTGGGTCCGTTCACAAGAAATATTGACTTTGAAGTTTTGGGCAGTTCAAGGATGAAGTCCATCACGATAAGGTTAGTACACGCCTCTAACCTACCTTTTTCTTAAGAACTCGTAAATAAGGGAAGTTTTGGATGTTTTTAGTGGTGAATTTGTCCCACCTGAACTATTGGTTGAACCATCCCTCGTGGACTTCAGGAAAGTTGCGTTTGGTAAGCAGATAAGAAATTGCTGACAAAATACGTCATCCAACTTTAAGTAGATGATTGTCTTATTGACAATCATTAAAAACCAACATTGAAAACGCACTATTTTTATTGCTTTAGATTCTTAATGTATTTTCAAGGTGGCCGTATCCAAAATCAAAAAAAATGAGACTGTTTTAAGAGTATCTCTTCTGTGACACAAGATGACAGCTTCAGGAATCAGATAATGTAAAATAGGTCTAAAAAACGTTGCTAACGGAGTTGACGAAGTCGAATGATTTTATAACTCGAAGGATCTGTGAAACTAGGAGAGATGCCATTCAGACCTCCTTCAATGAAGTAAAGGCTTTTTGATTTTGTCGTCATCTCCGAATTCCTGAATGATTAATTTAACCAACATTTTATCAGGTTTTGAGATGACAAAAATGATGAAGGTGCAGAATGTCTCCGCAATTCCCATTTCAATCACCTTCAATGTTGGAGCGAAATCCCTCTCTGTCAGTCCATCTCAAGCTCTCCTGGAAAAGATGGATACCGTAGTGGCAGAAATTACTTATTTTGCCTCCGAAGTGGGGTCCACTGATAGCTGCATTCGTATTAATATGGAGACAGTAGGAAAGATCTTTGAGATTCCGATCACTGGGAGGTTAGTGCTTCAATACCATAGTCAGTGAAGGCTTAGATGCTGCGTCCCGCAGATTCAAGCAGAATGTCGGCAAATTGAGCTTGATTCGTGCTTCTTTAACCACCCAAGAGAGTTTACTGTACCACTTGTGAATCCTTCGGACCTTCTCGCCAAATACCACATTCTACCAGTGGAAAACACCAGTGTCCAAATTACGTCGACATCACTAGAGGTATTAAATACCCTCAATGTAATTATGCGTGCCTGCCAGATTCATGACTCTACCTAAGTGTTCTTCTTTCAAGGGACTACTACCACCCGAAAAGGTGACACATGTCCCCTTGCAGGTCTATGCAAAAGTCACGGGGTTTGTTTCAGTAAACCTCGAAGTTGCGATTGTTGGTGCCGACTACAATCCTCTGGTTAGTGTCCATTGTGAAATTTACTTTTATTTCCCAATGCGATGATATAACTGTTATGTATTTCAAGAAGAATGCATCAAATAGAAGAAGGGTTATTTAATAAAGCTGTCATACTGCCCTATCGCAGTTTTTTACAGGGATTTTGCAGACACATTCGAATGACATAATTTGATAGGTGAACATAAATCAAACCTATTTACTACTAGGTTTTAAAAAGGGGAAATCAAATAAGGTTTAATTATGACCATGAGGGATGTAAACCTCATCTTGGACAAATCAGTACCACTAGGGAACGGAGAAGCTGGTAAGGTTCTCGTTGTAACCCCACATACCGGCTTAGGTGAGGTTGTATCGGACTGTAAAATGCGTTCGTATGCATCAGTCTGGTGGCACACTTCATTTTACCCTGTGACATTTGCTGCCTAACTTGAGCTCTCAGGAGGCGTCGGTCGAACCTGGTGGATGTGATTCGAGATAACATCCTCCTCAAATTTTGACGCGGTTGTTCAAGCCGCAGGGAGTTTCCGTAAAATTGGATTGGCCTCTGAGTCTGGGACAAATTATTCACCATTGCATCCAAGATTGGTGGGTCTTCCTGCACTTACTGCAGGTCACGCACAAAGTAATCCTCATCCACCCTGTGCATGGTGGACTTGAGATAGTGTTATATACCATTAATTCCCTGCTGAACACAAAAGAAAAAGAAATTCTGGCAGATGTGAAGTAGCGATAAACAAGAAAAAATTACCCTTTTGGATGGTCATATTCTTATCATTTCTGGGCGTCGCAAACTCCCAGATTACACAAAACTAAAAATCTGCTAGAAGAAATGTATTTTGAGATGCGAAGGGAGAGAACTATCAGTGGATCTTTATCCCCATCCTCATCTTTCTCTCGATACTCCTCTCAGATCATTATCACATTAACATTAGGCAAGTATATGAAAAAAAATAAGACAGAGACAGGAACGGAGACAGTTATGGGTTCAATATTTCTTTCAGTATTTCAAGCAAACGTCTCGTTTAGAAAGGCTGGTAGGCTACAGTGGTCACCCTTTCTAACACTGCTGCTGAATTTAACTCAGTAGTATGAAACCAGGTTTTAATTTTTTTGTATCGCTCACAATTTACAATTCTACTGTTTGAAACCCTTATGAAAAGTATTTCTTATTTTAAAACTTTCATGTGTAGCAAGGTTTACGTGTTCTAGACCGAAATAAACGGGAGGAGGAAGAAGGACTTTCTCTTTTACAGGTAGTTGAAGTTGTCTGTCATTGCGTGGGCCCAGTTCTGTCCATAAATGCAGAAAAAGTAGACTTCGGTAGGATTGCGGCTCTCACGCCCTTTCAGCACTCCGTACTGCTTTCCAACGAATCACCAATTCCAGCACACTTGACGAGTATTAAGGTAAGTTTTCTTTAAGAACAGTATAATTAAGGAAAGGGGGATTTGGGCGTCATCTAGTCACCTCTCCGTTGATAACCTAACACTCTTTACTGGTCTTTGATCAAGTTATTTTATCCATGTCCTCCTGCATGAAATGGAGAATGGCAAACTCATAACAGAACAATAACTTTGCTTTATTTTTTCAACCATTGCATCTCTTTTGTCCGTTTTTTCTACCCTAAACTTTCTGCTTTAACACCTAACAACAGAAATAAGATTAAATGGAACTTGAAACACACGTTCGTCTTGCCTTCCAGAGGGATTAATTTACTCCTTGTTGCATTATAGGTGCAGAAATCCACCACCTTTTGTGTGCATCCCCAAGAAGTGACAATACCTCCGTTCGGTAGGACCCAGGTTGAAGTAACGGCATGCGCCGACGACGTTGATGTGGAAATTGCTGGTGTACTGGAAATCTGCGTGGAGAATTCCGAGGTATCTCCGCACATCATTCAGCTGCGAGCCATTGGTGTTGGCAACACAATAACCATTGAACCGGAAGTACCACTGAGGTTGTCTTTGGGTCAGCAGTTTGAATCGCTACCACAGACAAGAGCTTTCGTGGTCAAGAATTGTGGAAGGCGCCAACAACGTCTTGTATGGACAGTTGAAAATGTCCACTGCATTCGAAAGGTGGATTCCAATAAGGTATTGCAATGAGGTCCCATGTGTTATCCTCTGAAGCTTATTTTCGGCATTTATTTCCCACATGTTGTCCATTTTGCTCCTTCCATTGCAGAAGCCCAAGGAACCGGACTACGAAATTCAGCTTGATCCTCCAAAATTTGAACTCAAACCTTTTCAGGGGGCAGATTTCTCCCTGAAGGTTACCTCCGTCAGGTAATTGGCTAATTAAAAATCCTGCAGTTGTGTTAAGTCCACTCTGTCTTCCACCGATTGCTTATACTCATAAAGGGGAGGAAATACTGTCGAATGCAGCATCATTGCTTTACACCAGGTAAAGTAAAAGCTCTTCAATCTCAGTTACTTTCCCGACATATTTTCTGGTATGGTTTGTTTCATTTTACAGTGTATTGGCCACGAACCATTTGATGGAGAGTGATAGCGAGCTCCTCGTACAAAAGACATTTGCAGTGGTGACCCTCTCGACTACACCTCGAGTGTATCCGACTGATAAAATCAAACTGAAAAGACTAAGAGCCCATTTAAGGAGGAACAGTGCCTACCGCTTCATCTAGGTCACAGATTGCAAGAGAAGTGTCGCAGAAGCGTCAACCACTCCAGCTTCTTAGTCATCAATGTGTGCCTGTAGATAGTTAGTGGGGTTTTATGGACTGGTGATAAGCAGAGCGACCACATTCAAGAGGTCATACCTTTTTGGAAATACTTACTTGTCCTAAAGGCTCATTCCTTTAAGTCATAGGGGCATTATATTCCAAGGAGGTAGAATTCACCCCTCTCTTCAACGAATTCGCTACCGGGAAAGCCGCAGTTCGTGGTTGACGGAGTGAAAATGTCTCTCTTCTTCAACAGCAGCGTTTAAATAAAGTCTGGTTCACTTACATGCCTCCGTAACGATTGGAATCCCATATAGTTGGCAAACTTTAGCCATTGTTTTTGCTGCCATCCACAGATCTATGGAAATAAGGTTTACCCTCAAATGCCACACGGTGATAGGCAACGCTGGCCACAAACGGCTTCTCCAAGAGTGTATCGTCTCGGCGGTGTTTATCAAGCCCATGATCGAGGTTGTCCCAAATCCAGTTGAGTTTTGCCTTCTCAAAGTAGGTAAAATCATGCATTGAGAGACGAAAAATCAAAAATTCTTTCAGATACCGGAAAAAGACGTTGAAAATGCCCACCAGAGCATTGTGATAACCAATCTCGCTGAGATTGAAACTGCACTTCAAGTAGCCGTCGACAAGCCATGCTTTCTCAATGAGTGCGCAAGGCCAGCACAAAGCCTCGTGAGTACTCGACTATACGTGTTACCGGCCTTTCCTTTGATAGGAGCTTACACTTTCTGGTAAGGGAGAGGAAAACTTTTGTGTTGGATTCGCACCGCCCTTGGCGAACAATAAACGAACCAGTTTTGTCGTTGATACCCACCTAAATGTCTCTTTCCTGAAACATCCATTAAAGGTAGGTGAAAATTGTCCAAGATCCCTTCCTTTCAGCTCACGATCCCGGTTCACGGAGAGGTCCATTTTCCCAGTCTTCGGGTAGAAAACGATTTCCTGGATTTTGGAAGTGTTGAAAATGGAAGTGAGGTGACCAAATCCCTGCTTCTGCTCAACACCAGTCCAATTAAAGTTAACTACCGATGGAAGCTCGTTCATGGCTCACTCAGAAACAGCCAACGAGAGCCGCTAAGACTTCTGATGCGTTCAAAATCACAGGAGTTGCGCACGATTCCTGCAACACCTCTTGTTCACTCCTCCTCAATCTCTAACATTGATGCATTACACATCACAGATGTCTTTTCAATCACACCCGGGTCAGGCTCTGTTCCTGCAGGTGAAAGTGTCTCCACCTGCATTAAATTTCATGCCCATTCGGACGTGGCGGCGAGTTGTGCTGCGATTTGTTGCGTTAGTGATGGTCCAGACTACACTGTGGATTTGAAAGGTGAAAGCTCAACCTCCGACTGCTATATCAAAACAAATGAAGTGCCATTTAGGGAGATACTTTTTAATGAAGAAGCGATAGAGTCTTTTCACATCTATAACGCTGGAAAAGTGCCAAGTCCCTTCTACTTCACTTGGGATAGAAACGATGTGAATTTTCGGATGTTTCCTACAAAAGGGGAAGTTCCAGGAAAGGGTGTTGCTGAAATAAAGATGTGTGTGGATGTACCACAACCGAGGGAGTTTACAGTCTTTGCTAAAGTTCACTTAGCCGGCAAGCAACCAGAACAAATCCGAGTCCATGGAAAGGCCTGCTTCCCCCATGTGGTGTTGAATCTGCCTCGTATTAATGGCGAGCCCCCTAGGGATAGCGATTTATGCAAGGATGAAAGAGATTTTATTAATTCTCAGCTGGCTACCGACCATCCTAGTCACATGTAAGCCTATTTCTCAACCCAATTTTACTCCTTCAGACTGACTCTTTCGCCATATAAGCTGGACTTTTGTGATATTGTCTGGGGAGAGGTTAAGGAAAGAAAATTGACCTTAAAACAACTATGTCACAGTTTTGCATATCACCTGAGCATCAAGGCGATGAACAGGAAGATGTTAGCCAAAAAAGGCGTGACTGTTCAAATCGGATGCGAAATTTCCATAACATTTGACTCGTCAAATAGCGAAACTGGGCAAATCGCCCTGGAAATACCCTTAAAGGTTAGTTTGGACGTTGCTGAAGGCTCAAGTAATAGATCCACAGACATGTTGTCCTACCGATACAACTGGTAGCTAACGTAGTGGCTTCGGAACTAAAAATGAGTGATAGCCTCCTTGACTTTGGTGAGATCTACGTAGACGAGGCCAAAATATTGGCTGTTCAGTTGCATAATCCAACACCATTCCCCATAAACTGGAGCGAATCAAGACCCAAGACGGCAATAAGTTCCTTTGAATTGATGCCAAAGTCTGGAAGTCTGCAATCAGACCAAAAGGAGAATGTATTTGTACGTTTCGGTTTCCTCTTTTAATTCCTTACACCTATAGATTAAATACAAGCCTAGAATAGGAGGACCTGTAAGCGAAAATATACGCCTACTGCTGACAGAAAGTAAAACACACCTGGAAATCACTTGTCAGGGTGTGGGACTTGAACCTCGACTGATTGTCCAGCCGCGTGCAATCGAGTTCAGGCCCCTCATTCCAAACGGAGAGACAGATGAACAGGCGGTTATTATCAAAAATCCATGTCCATTTCCTGTGGAGTTTTACAGTCTTGATTTTGACGAGATTCAGACAAAGGCTAGTTTATTTATCAGTCTTATAACATTTTTTGCATCCATATAGGAGGAAAGGTGTCTCACCTTCTTGCCTTTATTTGATGAAGCTGAGGAGGTGCTTCTGCCACCGAGAAAACCAGGGAAAAGTTTGCCAGTGGAGGCGTACGAACATGAGCTTCAACCGAAGCCGTCAAGAGCTAGCACACCAAAGGTAAGGGAGTTCAGCGACCAACCCTTCAATGCATTCTATTGCAGACCAGTTATCTGAGAAGTTCAAAACGCGGCACAGCAAAACAGACACCAGAACATTTCAGAAAAATGCCTCCCAATCTAAGCCCTTTTAACAGTCAGACAACTTTTCGAAGATATGCTGAGGAGAGGCGGACAGGAGTCGAGGAGGCTGGAATTGTTTTGTTAGTTTTTGGTTCACCACAGTCGGGACAAAGTGACCTCGCCAAATTGCTGGCGCAGCATTACGATGCAGTGCACCTAAATTTGAATGAGTTCTTTGCAAATCTCGAATTCACGAGCTTGAAGGTAAGTTTTTTTTTACAGCGGTAATGATGATCACCTAGAATTCCGAGAAGGACGCTCTATCGGCACCACTTCTATCGGCAGACAGTATATTTGGACTCATCATGAGTGGAATAGGCAATTCCAAACGATGTGAGACTGTCCTTAAAGCCCTAGGCAAGAGAAGGATGAACATGTTTGCGGTGACGGTCACTCGTGAAATAGCTTCTATTAGTCTTGCAGATGCACGTTATGAGGAGGCCTTAAGCAAGGCTGAAAAGTACGCTTTTGAACGCAAAGTCACAGAGTACCGGAGTATGGAGGAGTGGCAGTATGATATACTGCCAGACAGCGCACGTCAGGAAGTTGATTTAGCTCTGGCCGAGTGGAAACGTCAACAGCACAAGGAAAGTAAACAGTAAGTGGGTACAAACAGGGGACCTAATATTCTTAGGGTGGTGATGCGATCTCCAATGAGAAGCAGTTTGAGGAAGTAGGCGTTCTCTTTTGGTTGAAATTGAGATATTTGGCAGGAATCTCGGATCGAAATCCTCGATCTCTTCAGTGAGCTCACAAAAGGGAAAGTACGCGGACCTCGAAGTCAAGTGAGTTTATCCATTAGATGGAAATTACACATACTTGCCCCTTACGTTGTCACCACTTCGAACCACGCATAGCCCACCCAGAACCACAGCATAGAAGTTCAAGGAAGATGACTCTGTTATAGGTTAAAGGAATTCGAAAAGGAGCATCGTAGAATCTGCCATCTTCTAAGCACTTGGGATATCAAGAACCAGGAGCAGAACCCCAACGAAGCCTCACTGCCACTTATTGACTTGGACGCGCCTAAAAACGGCTCCTCTCGCAATTCGGACGACAATCTCGTTGGTATTCCACATTTTGTTGTCCATTCGAAATTGGATGTCGAAATTATGGAGTCGCCTGTGGATCAAGTCTACGAACGCGTTGAAGATGTTCAACGAGAGAGGCCAAACATCTCGGTGGTGCTGAACAAGCTACTGCCACACTTGCCAACTCGGGAGGAGATTCGACGTCAACTGGGCTATGGACCGCTTGCAATTGAAATTCCTCCACCAATAACATTTTCTGTTGTTCACCGACCGGTTAAAAGGGAAAGATGCGGTGAAGTAGACCACTATTTCACCATTGTGAAGCCTCCTGGCTTAGCGGAAGCGACAGAGGCAGGTTTATTGGATATGCCTAAAGTACGCCCATGTTGGTACCACTACTATAAGCTCACTGACTTTTACAACTTATGAAATGAGATTTTTCACACTTCCTAGGCAACGGAAGGTTTGCAAAGTGTCAGTGGGGTGTCCACAATGACACCGAGGTCCCGACGTACATCGACAAGCTCATCTTCTAGAGGCAAACGATGGCAAGGAAAGGCATCATTGGCAATTCCTGAACAGAACTTTTGGTAAATACATCTGTTACAAGTGGGTGATCATCAAACTCCGAAAAACCCTCCTAATCATATGTATACTACCAAAAAGGAGCGATTGGCATATAAAAGAATGAGAAACAAATTTGTGAACATTTCTATTCAAATAACTTTAAAGTAGACCTCATTGAAGCCCTTTTACGAATAGTGACCCGTCAATCTACCGCTGGATTGTGCCTGAGAATGGCCAGATCCAACTCCCCTTGAGGTTCACTCCGCGAGGAGTAGGCAACTTCAGGGAGCTCCTAAGATTTGAAATTTTGAGGACAAAAGAAGAAATCATAGTCGAATGTCAGGGTTGCTGTCAGCTGCCTCGACTAGTAACTGAACCCAGGTATGAACATTGAACTATGCATATTCACCATCCTCTAGAAAGGTATTTTCAAAAATCGAGGAGTTTTACCCTTTGAATAAACCACCAAGGAAGACCTTCATAATTGAGAAGGATTGCTTCGAATTCGGACCCCTACTTGCCGCCAAATCACGAGATCTGTGAGTTTTTTTGTCCTTACCAAATACAACCCCATGAGTGGCCCTACCGCTCTATCATTGGCTGTGCCTTCTACGCTGTTTCAGAATTTTAGCTGGCGAGTATAAGGAGAATGTCACAGAGCTACGACTGCAAAATGATGGACCGCATGGTGTAGAAGTAAAGTTGGCATTTGAGAACAATGAAGGAGGTGAAAATTTTGCGGTATCACCGTCAGAACTTCACATTAGTCGGAATGAGGTACAGGTTGCAAAAGTGTACGCTCTACCAACCGCCGCAGTAACTGCAACAAGCAAATTGATTGGTCAGATTAAGGACAATCCCAAACCAATCAAATTTAACTTTGCTGTAATTGGTGTTTTGCCATCTCTCACAGTTCAAACAAAGGTCGTTAATTTTGGTAAAATACCCTTAAATAAGTAAGTTTAGGATTTAACATTTATTCCGGGCAAAAATAGAGCTGAACTACAGCAAGTTGTTATTTTTAATCCAACTCCTATTCCTGTTGCTTGGAAATGCGAGATTCTGGTGTCTATGAAGGAGACGGATTTTAATGTATGCCCCTCATCTGGTATCCTCAAATCGCCCAATGAAATCTTCAACCTCACAGTGGAGTATAGTGGATCTTCAGACCCTCGAAGGATAGCAATCAAGAGGTGGTTGCGCTTTTACGCCATGGATACTAGAGGATTGTCGAGTCCGGTGACTATTCACCCATCTGTTGGTGTTCAATTGGAGGTGGTGGATCCGGGATTTGAGATTGCAATGCCAAAAGGTTTGTCAGTACCTGCTTAATACCCATTTACTTTCGTCTTAAAAGAGGGACTCGGATTTGGACTTGTAAGGGTCAGAGAAGAAACTAAAAAAACCCTGGAGTTGCGAAATCATGGCCCATTCAAATTACAGTATAAGTGAGTTGTCACATTTTAATCTTTGACAAACCCATTCACCTATGTCTTTGTTTCTACTATCTCATAGATTCCATGCTGTGCTGTCGGAGAGGAAGCAGATGGACTTGCAGAAAGCCCTCACCATAAATCCGCAAAGTGGAATTCTTCTGCCATCTCAGAATTTGAACATCACGGTAATTTACTGAGCTGATGAAGACCTCTGTTTTAGGTCTGCTGTTATTCCCTGCACGAAGTGGAGATTCACAATGAGGCTGCTTTCATTTGTGAGGTGGAAACGCATAAAGGCGTTCCGATATCCACTACTCCCATTCCCATATCTGTGCGAATACGCCGTAGCCAGTGAGTCCAATTGCATAATTGGTGAAACACCAGCTGACGATTTAAATTCCTTAATAACGAATGATTTGTCAGACAAATTCGGTAATACCATACACCATTGGTTAGGCATGTCACAGACGTATCAGTAGGTACAGCAAGGTGGAGAGACAAGCTCAAGAGTGCCTGCACTTTCACGATTTCTGGAAGAGGAAAAGGGCGGCAGTAGCTGGTCAAGTCTAAGCCCGTTTTACGGCTTTTTTAAGTTGATGGGTTGAACTTTCTTGTCATTCTGTGGTGTAAAAGTGCTTCAAGAGCACAGATTCTCCTTCATCAGTATGGGAACACGATCAAAGTGAGTCAAAAAATGACTGGAGAGGTGTAATTATAGCACGAAATTCTGATTCGCCAGTTTTTAACCACTCTGATCCCTAAAAAGGAATCTTTGAATGCAGGTGCTCAACTCATCCTTCATCCTAACTCAGAACCAGCAACAATGGAACATAAACGCGGACTCTGACCAGTTTCGTCTGACGCTTAGATCCTTTATTAGTAAATTCATTAAGTTTTTGCGGCAGTCGAAGCACTTGCCATCATCTTCAAAACCCAATCGCAGACAAGAAGCCAGATCCTACTTAATCTTCTGAGCTTTAAAAGTTAGTTCTGAAAATTATCAGGAATTTGAAGCGTAAACCACCACAAATCCTTACTAAATACCAGAAATTAAAGTCAAACATGTCTGTCATGCAAGGTTTCCGATAAGACACATTTGAAAAGAACTTTCTCATCTTTACCATAGTTTTAAAATCCTCCCGTCCAAGGAAGTAGCCTTTGGGACGATGGTGGTGAACACAAGAGCGACAGAGCAAGTGACAATAAAAAATGATGGCCATTTTGATCTCCACTACTCGATTCTCCCCAAGCACTCCACTTTTAAAGCACGTTCGGCAAAACGCGAATCTAGGTAAGTGGGTGGCAAAGACAAGACTCCGCTTTTCGACCGCCGGTCTTACCTCCTTGGTATGTAGGTATTACAGTTTTACAAACCACATTCAGCAGGTCTAACTGCCACCTCATGGGAGTCCAAAATGAGAGGGTAGTATAGAGCAGAGTAAGAGATGACCAACGAGCCAACGCATAGACATGGAGAATCGTTTAAACATTACAAATTTTTACCAGTTTCGAGAAGTCTTTTAATGGGGCTGTCTCGAAAGCTGCACGAACGTCTTAATTACTTGACATCACGCCATTTACATTTTGCTGATGTCATTGTAAATTTGTAGGCTTTGGGGTTTTTTTAACACTTTGGAGTGTATAATGCATTATAAATTTCCTCCATGACTGAAAATAACCGGTAACAATTTCCGCCTGACAGCATAAGTTCCTTTTCCGTTAGCTGATAAATGGCGCTTTTACACAGGGATAAAAGCCTTTGGAGTTTTAAGTACTTTTAATTCAAATGAGCTGTTTTCCCTTAAAGTCAAAAGAGGCCATTGGGTGCTCGGGGAAGAGAGAAGATTTCGCAAGGTCCTTTTGTAATTTCCCCAGCTAGTGGGACAATTGCGATTGGGCAGAAGCAGCCAATTACGGTACAGTGTTCATCTGGACCAATCAAAGCTATCTTTGACGAGGTATGCAATGGCCATCTACTTCACCGCCACCTCGTCGAGTTATCAACTTAAATTGGAAGATTATGCATCATTTTTACAATTTAGCATAGCAAGGACATATTTTAGCACAAAATTACAATTTCATTGCTAATATTAATGATCATTAGCATAAATAAACACAGGTAGGCGTTTAGGAACACCCCCGCCCTTATTTCCCTACCAAACCCAGTGGTAATTAATTTATAAGGGAATTTTGCAAAGTCCTTTCATAACTACCGGTGCAGGTGGTCGAAATCCAATTAAACGCAAGCAGCCAATCACTGTGCAGTGTTCAACTGGACCAATCATTGCTGTCTTTGAGGAGGTGTACAATAGCCGTCTACTTCGGTGCCAATTTACCGAGTTTTGGGAAGTTATAGACGGTGTGTGAAACCTAGCATAGCCAAGGCACATTGTAACAAATATTTTATATCAGTAATGATGATTACCATAAGTAAACACGAGTACACAAGTTCTAGGTTTCGCAGTGAAATGCGTCACACTTTGCTCTTCACAGACGTAGTCTTAGTCCTAGAACACGGATGACCATGAAATATTAAAATTTTACTAAAAAGAAAAGCCATTTTACTATTTAAAGCCGCGCCGAGAGCACAGCATACTCTCGCTACCACGTTTGGCATAAATTGACGTTTACAACCGGCGGAGCCGTTGACGAAGTTCAGAAATTATTGAGCCTGATGTAACAAATACAGAGCGCAGCAACCGTCAAACCACTGTTGTTGATAAATGTCAAGAAGTTGATTTAGCAGATAGAGCAACACGAAGTAAGCAGGTAATGGCCGAAGTCATTCGTTACCCAATAAATGTAGTCGCACAAAAGGTCTAATTTGTTTAAAATTACATCAAGATACCCCACATAGCCTTAATTGCTGTTTTCTATCACCATGGACACCTAACTCTCTCAAAAGGACTGGTGATAAATTGACTAGGTTAAAACTGGCATACAATACTTATCCGGATCAAATTCTGCAATATGAGTTGATTAGGTTCGGTCAGTTACGGTTCGCACTACTGCTTCAGGAGCTTGTCATTCAAATTGCGGACAAACCAAACGGTGAAACGGATGTCGCCAGTGTTCCATTTCGGCTTTCTATGGAGGTGTGTAGTCCGTCCTTGGGAATTGAGGATATGGCTTCCATTTTCGAGGAACATCTAGTCTGTCAATCACGAAATGAACTTGAAAGCCTGGCCAATCATGGGGTAGGTTATCCCATGAAAGCATCATAATGGTCTCCTTCTTCCTAATTTAGATCATAGGTGCGGCGTACATTGGGGATGAAAATTGCTTCGACTTTGGAGCCACGCTAATTGGCACTGTTTCTTGCGGGAGATTCAGACTTTTCAACAACTCCAAGGCTGCTCTGGATGCGAAATTTCTCCTGAGACAAGAAAAAACAGAAAAGAGACGAAGAACTCGAAGAAATGAATCCGACGCCTTGGAGGCGTTTAATGTGGTTCCGGCGATATCGCGCATTGAACCCTACCAATCCGTCTACGTGGCCTGTTCCTTTACCGCAAAATCATTGGGGGTTGGTAATAGTCACATATTACTCACAGATCATAAGTAGAAGGTTTACCTCACCGGTATTTCACTTTAGGTCTACTCCACGACCTTTCAAGTTCTTGTTGAGGAGGAGAGCGCACCATTGCTAAAATTTGACTTACGAGGCAAGGGAGAGATACCTCGTGTTAGTGTAGAGGAGCCGACCTCACAAAATCCCCGAGGGAATCGCTACTTGGTATTTAACAAGGACCAAACTTCACGGTTCATAAGAATACGGAATGATGGAGTGATCCCATGTCAGGTAAATACAAACACCTTAAAGGACGTTATTGTTCAAAAATTATAGGTGAAAGTAGATGTGGAGACAACGGAAAGTCATGTTGCGGCATTCAGACTCGGTAATAGCGAGTTTAGAAGGGAAGTCGGTAAGACATACTTTCCAGCCCTAAATAGCTGGAAAATGAGTTTTATTATACACAATATTTTAGCATTTTTACTATCAACTTGTCCTTTCCAGCGTTGGTATCGGACTGTCTGCAAACTTCGGTCAACTTCACATTGGCCGCTAGTGAATCTCACAGTCTCGAGGTTGCCTTCATCCCCGAAAACCACAAAAACGGTGGTCGTATCACCGGCTGCGTTAAAATTTTTCTCCAAGGCAACAACTATGAGAAGGAGGTTATTGAACTGTGTGGAGTCGCATCAGCAGAGCTTACATCGGCCCCACAAATCCATTTGGTGGACCCTGTGTTGGATCCTCTGGATTTTGAAAGTAAAGTCTCGAGTGCTTCGTGTTGTCCCAAAAGTTTATCACATTTTAAAGCACTTGATGCAACGTTAGGATACAATGACTTGACGATGGAGCCAGATTCATAACATCTGTTCCGAATTGGGCCATTGAAGTGATGTTAATGCCTCGTAGAAGGGAGTAAACACTAACTAATGCCTCCAAGCATCCTTTTGCGATCAGTAAATTGGCCTAAAATCCCTGCAAAGTAAAGCTTTAAACTTTTCTCCATCCCTAGAAGTCAACAACAAGAACCATATGAGGCTCGGTAACTGCTATGTTGGAGCCCCAATCCTCAAGCACCTTCTCCAGAGTTATCCAATCAAAACCGACGAGCCTGGCTTGACAACACGGTTAGAAAACAAGCTTCCGTCGTTTATTTTTGCTTGGCCACGGGATCATCCACATTTGGAATTTGAACCGGCTACAGGAGATTTGCACCCAGGCTCCTCGTTGACCGTGTTTGTGAAGTTTTACAGTGATAGACCGGTCGCCTACCATTTAGCACCAGTTCGTTGTGAGCTTATACAGGTCTTGAAGGCAGAACCCCAGATGGTAAGCTGATATGATGGTGCTATATCATGGTGGCGAAGGTCTTTTGTGAGCAATTTTGAACTTAGGGTGTTGAAAAGACCTAATCCACACTCGCAAGTTTCAGGTTGCAGACCATTTGATTTCGCTCAGTGATCAATTATTTTACGGATTTAAGGACTATTCTACACTCACTGAAGGCATGGCTGTTGATAAGGACCAACGGTGGTAAGATGATAAGATAAAACAAGCCTAATTTCAAATTTTGGTGGATAACGCGTCCTTCCATGTCGCCTTCAGTAGTGCTCGCAGTGCGGGAACGCCTCGGAGTCGAGTGAGAGGATCACCTAAGTTACAACGTAAAAGCCTATCAGCGAGATCGAACTATTCACAGAAAATCTGTTTGGAGGAATCGGCGAAATTAGACGTCGTAAATGATAAGACAGAGGATGAAGGAAAAAGGGAGAGGAAGTTTCTGGACCTATATTTCACTATAGACTGTGGTTTTGTGGAATACCTCTGTGAAGTGGACTCCATTGAGTTTGTGGCTACACCTCTTTACTGTGAAGCAGTTAAAACGTAAGTTGCTTCATTTGTCCTTCTAATGGAGCCCTCTTGCCAAGGTTGCAGATAAAGAACACCGGAAGAGTGACAATGACTTTTCGCATCGAGAAGGTTGATAATGACGATGAGTCGTTTGAAGTGGATATCAGTGAAAGCCTAATTCTACCGGGAAAAAGTGCAGAATTAAGGGTGAGTCTTAGTCAAAATGGGCTTTTTTGATCCTGTTCCTTACTTTTCTCCTTCCAACAATTCCTATTAATTTATTGTCCTATAAAACTTTTAGCATTTAATCAATGTTACTTAATGATTTAAGTAAAAAAAAATTTGCGTTGGGCATAAGGTATTTTAAGGGGCAGTATTTACTCGACTTTAGGCATAATTTGGCGTTTTCAGAGAAAGAGATTCTGACTCATAGTAAGTCAGAAGGAGGTAGATAAGATGAATATCTTAAGTTAGGTAGATGTGTAATGGGTTCAGTGTTTCTATCTTCCACTTCTGCCTCTCTATCCTTGAAATGAGAAGATTGATTAGATGAGGATATCTTTTGTTAGATCGTGTTGTAAAATTGCTACAGGGAATTGCGATGACATCGCTTTGAAGTTTTCTTCTGCCTTAGGGACCAGTGGGTTCCACTTAGTTACGAGGTTCGTGCATATTGACAGTCTCCCGCCTAAATTAGCTTAACAGTTAGTTACCTTTTGTAGATAGTAATTTAGATGTTAAAAAGGTACCTTATTTCTAGTTTTCTGATGTGTATAACAGCAAACAGCAAATTTTGAAGATATTTTTGGGCTTAGAATTGTCCCGGTGAGTTAGGGTGAAGTGTTCAGCTGACAAATCCCAAGGTTGATGTATTTTTCTAAACAGGTGGAAATTATGAAGCAGTAAGGGATTACCAATGGCTTGGAAGGTGATAAATACAGCCGTCTAAGACTTCAGAAGTCAAATTAGAGATCATGCAGGATTCCACTCTAAAGTCTCAATCAGAAGTGGGGCCTGATTTCGCAATTACCGAGGCAAAACCTTGAGTTTAAAATGGGAGAGACAGCTTGGAGAGACCAAATTATGACAAGTTGTTGGCCTCAAACGGTGATAGAGCCATGTCTTGTCACGCGGCCTTATGTACTCCTGTGGACATGTCATGGTCTTTAACCGGACTATCCAAGACGTAATGCTTCACTGCTGAGGTCTTAAGTGCGGATAATGTGGGTACTCTAGGATTATACCATAGCTGCATTGCTGAAAGTAATGGATAGCCATCAATTTAAATGTTCTTGACCTCTAAGTGGTCATTAGTACATACAAAGTGGTTGTCCACCTGGTACTGGTCAGCGCGGTAAACTCAACAGGAATAGGAGTTTGAGAATGTTCTTGAATGTCCAGAAACTTCATGTTTAAGAAGAATCTTCTAGAACTTCGAGGATGTTTCTCTGAGGTTATAGACATCCTCAGTAGCTGCTAATTCCTGCAAATTGTAGTTGACATTTCGTCCAACGCGTTCGGGTGAACATCAATGCAGCTTCACTTTGAGAGTGCCTAGTACCGCGGAAGAATCTACCGCATCCAAAGCCATACGCGCAATTGGGAGGGGAGTTAGCGTTCCGATCCACCTTCAGCTTTCCAAATGTGATTACGAGGCAAGGCAGTTACCCGCCGATCCCCTGTGGTACCAGGCCCAGACGTTAGTGATTGTGGCCACCGGAACTGGCCATAAAGTTACAAGGTCAGTAACCCAAGTGAATTATCTCCTGGTACACCCCGGAAGCATCCAAGGAAGTAGCTAGTTGAATATACTTCCTGCCCTGCCAATGTAACCATAGCAACCAAATACACAAGTCTATGCTTTTATTCATTCCTTTAGTGTGGTAATGATGTAAAAAGGCCTTTAAAATTCCTTCTAAGTCTTCCTGCGGTTTTATGGATCTTCCATACAAACGAGACCTTTTTAAGCCTACAAGTTAGGTAATTGCTTACTTACTTGAAACAGATCATTCGAAATCATGAATGCTAGTGAGGATTCCATTGAACTTGATGTCCAAAAGGTCGATACAAGCGACAGAACGATGGATGTAGTTCTCTCTGAAACCTTCATCAAATCGGGTCACTCAACTAACGTGAGTTAGATTTGCCTTGACTTTGCAAACACGCCTCGATCTTTTCGAAAGGTAATGATGATTCCTACCCCAGGTGGAAGTATCATTCCTGAGTCCGACCAGAGAGACAAAAGAGGTTTGTGTAATCTTCGAGGCCAGTGGGCACCGCGTGCCCCTCTTGCTTGTGGGTCAAACAAGGGAGGCAGTTGTCGCCTTCGATAGAAGCCATCTCCGTCTGCCCGAGCTTCCAATCGGTCGGAAAGTTGAGGAAGTAGTCCACCTTGTCAACACTGAGACGATTCCAGTGAATTTTAAAATTAACAGAGCAACTCTCCATTGCAATAGCTGTCTGGATAAGTTGTCCATTTTACCTATGGGAGGATGTATACAACCGAATGAAAGGTAAGACCTGGAGTGAAATTTAATCGAATAGCATATAAAAGAATAAGAAATATTTTGGCTGCTAAGACAAGCTACGATTTACTAGTTGGCGAGGGGGCTGACATGGTGGGATTCCCCCCACTTGACTATCCCTCCATCTCCCCGCTGCCGATGGTCCCCAATCCGCCTTCGTGACGATGTAACTGTAGGAAGTTGAGCATTTACCTCATCATTCAAAATGTTCTCTAGGGAAATAAATAAAAACGACATAAATAGCTAGAGAAATTTAAATTATTGAGAAAAAAAGAGCTGCCGGAAGTCGTGTAATGCGCACGGGAAAGAAGAACGGTTAATTTGCCAGCGGAAGCTGGAGCCTCATGGTCAACCCCTTTTCCCCTTACAAACGGATGGGGAGAAGAAGAGAAAGCAGGAATACTCCAATTTTTTTTATTATTTCCTAGTAAAACATTTTCATCGTCCATTGTAAGCTCCAATGGGGCAGCGTCACATCAGTCTAATGAGAAAAATTTCCCCTTTCTTAACAAATTATCGACCTTTTAAATCCCTTTTAGGTTCCCTCTCAAAGTCCACTTCTCTCCGACAGAAGAACGAAGGTGTAACTTCAACATTTTGTGTAAGGTGGAACATCGGCAGATACCCCTTCGGTTAAACGTCAAGACTGGTGCCCTAAAATGCTCCACCACTGTGTGGCTCTTGGATGACTGTAGTGAAGCAAAGCAGGCAATTCCAGCTTTTCTAATGCAGTGTCCGGCAAAAGACGTGACCAAATCTATCACTTCTGCAAGTCGACGAGTCGTAGACTTCCCTTCCCTGCGTAAGGACTTGACTGTCGTAGATTTTGGCGAGGTATTCACCGGATGTGATTCTACAAGGCTTATAAAGCTTGTTAATCACGGTGACTACGAGGTGGAATTTGGCACTGTTGTTACATCGACATCAAAGAATGTATTAGTACCTTTCAGCATGACTCCAGGTTTTGGAAAGGTGGGACAGCTGAAAGAAACTCTTCTTCAGATCGTCTTCAAACCCGATTCTGCTTTCCGAGCTTCAACTCAAACGACTAACTTTCTTGGCGTTATTGCCATTCTAAATGGACCGGCATTTGCATTTGACTTGCGTGGACGTGTCACTGTGAATGCAGTTGACATCTCACCCAGTCAACTGAATTTTGGTGCCCAATTTACTCAAGAAACAGGACTGGGTGTAATCACAAAGTGTCTAAGGATTTCAAATAGGAGTCCGGATAAACCGGTTTACGTTGCCGTTGTAGCATCCACCTTACCAGAATTCATTTGTGACTTCTCCCCTCAAATGCTTGAACCTTCTTCTACAGCAGACGCAAAGGTCACCTTCTATCCCTCCGCATGCAAAAGCTATGAGAGCAAACTATGCTTTCTGGTGAATGAAAAGGTGAAAATCAAGGTACCTGCCAGAGGAAGGGGTGTTAAGCTTGACGTGGAAATAAATTGTGGCAGTTTAATGATAAATCAGGAGAGAGAAGGAATGAGCAAAGCACCTGTCAAGTTAAGAGACGGTAAACAGGTGGAGTCCTCGGTGGTTCATCTCGGAAACCTCAACTTCATGCAAAGCAGTCGTCGTACAGTGGCAATAATGAACAAGAGTCCATCACCAATTACAATAACCGGAGCCTCTGTACTGCCCAAATCAAAGGCGCTAAATAAAGTCCGTGTAAACGCATCAACTTCAAGGCCAAATCCTTCGGACATCCTTTCGTTGACGTTTCTGCCCTCGCCTCTATTTGCGAGTTCAAACCGAACACCAGACAGAGAGTATCGGGGCAGCCCCGAGGATAATTGCTTATCACAGCCACGGAAAGATGCAACGGCACAAATTGAAGTGTTTTTCTCGCCTCGAGATCTGCCAATTATGTCATTTTGTGAAGAGATTCTACTGCAGATTTCGACTACTACTAATCCGGATAAGTGTATATGGATCCCTGGCTTTACAATTTGCGGGAAGTGTACCGGTGCGAAAATGGTTTCGGAAACTTCGGCAATCAATTTTGGCACCGTGGTGGTTGGAAGTAGTTGTTGCAAGACTGTTGCCATCTCAAATCGCGGAAATAAATCTGCAACCTTTGTGTGGGATGAAAAGACGCTGCCTCGACACGTTGTGTCTGTCGAACCCAAAAGTGGACGCATCCGAGCAAACACATCAATGAACTTCAAATTCACTTTAAAACCTGTCCGAGTGAATCAGGAACTTTGCTTTGAGGTAAGGGCTGGATTTATTTCTGTTAATTTCAAAAGAAAATGACGTATAATTATGCGTAACACAATCTAGAGCAACCAAGTGTTATAAGGTAATGAAGTACATGGTGTAGCGCTCCTAGTCTTTACTTAATTCACAAGAAGTTACAAAACTAAGATTAAAAGTGTACTGCTGTTGCATAAAAGGGGCTGAGAGGCTTCTAGCATGCCCTGGAGGATCGTCCACAGCGCTCCACTTGGTCAGCCTCCTACTTCAGCCATCAGAGCGTAGTAGGTACTAGAAGAAAAACGCCCACCAACAAATCACAATTTGCATCAAAGTTGTGTGTAAACGAGAAGATATTTGAACGCAATGTCCCCGATCCCTATTAACAATTCCACTGGACCTGGAGTTTCGTCCTGTTTGTCAACTGTATTGGGGTACGGGAATATGGACAGGCTATCACGTATGTCCATCACTAGTTGTAAGAAAACTAGTCCAAAAGTAGAATTGCTTAATAAAGGATGCGGTTTGTAATAGTTCGTAGGGACTTCGGAGCTACCCAGCTATGACTGTCTGGAGTCGATTTAGCTAGTAGATGAGTGGAGAAGGTGTCGCAGGTTCATTAATTGTTATCTTCATACCGGTACGGCCGACAGATCCATGGCAAACATTTCCAGATAATTTACAGCTAGCGTCACTTCATTTGTTATTAGCTTTTCTGCAAACCACAGCAGTGGGGCATTTGTCGAAGGGGAAAGTTATTTTTAATCCTTCTGTTAGGGGTTGTAACAGATTGTTCTCTCCATAGCGCATACAAATCTTCAACTCTGCTACGGTTTATCAACCAACAGTGGAAATTAGGGTAGTCGCTCTGTTGGATTGGTTTTTCTTTTTGTTGCCACCGATGTAGCACCTTGAGATACCTCTTAATACGAAAGAAGGCGTTATACTCGGGCAGAATGTATATTGCCGACGTACAGTAGGGTTTGGGGCTACTGACATGGTCCGGAAGCCAGCCAGCCCTACAGGAAGACGCAATAGTGAAGCCCCTAAGTAGCTCGTTGCCAAAACTGAGGGCTAGACTATCAATTAATCTATTACTCGGGAATTCGTCTGCCTTCTCTTCAATTGGTTTACTAGTCCTGGCCGTTCCTCAGTCAAATTGTTTTTCTTTCAAACCTTGGGTCTGTATCGGCCGGTTGTTATTAAAAATGGCCTTCCACAAGATCAAAGCTTAGAGCTAGTAGCGAAAAGATCGTGTAAGGCTAGTGAATCATTTGTTCTTTCTCCATTTCTCTACTTATATCAGCTAGTCAGGTAGCCAGTTTCTCCAAGCTTACTGACATTTGTTTATGTATATTATACTTAGCTTCCATGTCATTCTCTTTCCAGTTGATGCAGATGGAAACCAACTGATTCCTCGCCTAAATTACACTACTAGAAGTCGGGTTGATTTAATCGCGTGTTAGTTTGTTAATAATGCCTAGCTACTCTTAATGATTAAGAACGGACGGTCTTGATTCCCATCTCTCACCAAAGAGATTAAATAATTTTGTGGTCGGCTACCATGCCTACTAAAATGCTAAAAAATAAGTGCAAGAAGATTCTACGTTTTTAAGCTCCCGTTTAGAGCAGTAAAACAAACAAGCCTGAGCTACATTTTAAAGGGGTTCTATGTGACCGGAAAGGGATGGTAGCCAAAATAAAGAGTACCATAAGACGTTAATACTGTATAAAGCGTATAAACAATCACATTTTGCAAGTTTTTTAAACTTGAAGGGAGGTATTGCCACAATTTTACCCCAAGAATGATGCAAATTTTCGATTAGCCAATGGTGTCTCCTTAAAAATTAAGCAAACTTAAATTCCCTGACCAGACCTTACTTCGCTGAATAAGTCGATTAAAATAAAAACACATCAAGAAGCCTTAATTTTACATGATATGTCTTCTCCTTTAAGAATGTCACCTGCAACATAGAGGGTTCGAAACCCCTGCGGTTTGCAATTACTGGACTCTGTACGGCGTCCCACGAGGTCGCCGAAGTCATTCACTTCGCCTGCGCAGTGCGTGAAAAGGACACGCAGAGTGTTAGCCTTTCAAATCCCACGAACAGTGTGTGGACGGTCAAGCCTGTGTTCACTGGCACTGAATGGAGTGGCAAGGGGCTCTTTGAGATTCTACCCAAAGGAAGCGTAGACTATGCCATTACATATCATCCCCTGAATATGACAAGCAATGATGATGTCCATAAGGTAAACATACAACTTTTGACAAGGTTCACTTAACGAAAATCGCTTTATCCCCTGTCATTTGTCAATTACAGGGCTCGATATTCTTTCCATTTCCAAATGGAACGGGGTTGAAGTGCCATCTCGAAGGCACATCCAACCCTCCTGATGCTCTCAAACCCAAAACATTGGTAGAAATTCCCTGCAGACGAAAATATGGCCTCCAAATTGATGTTCCCAATTGGTTGTCAAGATTGCAACGATTTCATGTTTCGTGGATTGCCTCAAATGGATCAAATTTTACGTTTGCTGGTCCTCAATTCATTGATGTACCAGGAGGCGTGTCCATGAAATACCCCCTTACCTGTGAGGGATTGAGTGAGGCTTCAACTACTTTAAAAGTAAGGCAGATCTTATTTTTCTTTCTTTTTTAATTAACCTGAAATGCATTTATCACTCAGGGAACCTTTTAAAGCAAATTTATCAACATGTAAATCTACTTCATTCAAATCACCACCGACATTTTAGATCACCTTCTCAAGTACGGAGACTAAGGAGTATCAATTTGTGGAGTATCAGATTCGAGCAATCAGACCCAAACCTGAAGGTCTGATCAAATTAAAAACACCGCTAAGAAAGCCTGTCACCTATCAGTTGGGATTGGAGAATCCACTGCGGAGAGATACTGTTGTGGCACTCCACTCGACACTGCCTGAATTGATGTGTCCACCGGAGTATAAATTGACCGCACAGTCGAACGTGAGTCGGTATTTTCCTAATGGCCAAATGGGATAGCATTTTCACTGTAACTTAGTTACCAAGACTTCGATCAGTCACTGAGTTCTGTAAAATGTTCCACTAAGTGACTTCTCCATCCATCTATTTCAAGCTATCTACCAGTTAACTTATTTTCGCCTCTTAGAGCACAATAAACCTTGACTTCATACCCTGGCGCATTGGAAAATTCAGCGGCAGCCTCGAGGTGAATAGTTCGGACTTGGGCCTTAGTGTCTATGACCTTAACTTGGAAGCACTTGAGCCTTTGCCCGAAAAACCTGTCAAATTTCAAACAAGTCTCGGCCAATCCGACACAGTTACCGTGACTATCTCCAACCTGAGTCGAAGCAGGGCCGAATTCACCTCCAAAGTGAGTGATCTCACGAATAGGTTAGGTGGGATAGGAAGGTCAACTATTGATAAATTACTATTTCTCTATCACCTTCTAGATTAATAATGCCGCCTTTCGTTGTGAGAGGTCGGTGCTTGTGGCCACCAATTCGTCAGTCAAACTACCAGTGACATTTGAACCAAACAGTTTAGGCACGTTGGAAGCCACTTTGAAGGTGACAAGCAGTCAGGCGGGATCTTTCATCTTCCCGCTACATGGGTTCGCTAAACTGCCAACACCTCAGGGTCCCTTCCTCGTTTCAACCACAGCTCCAACTTCGTTGACGGTTAAGAATGTCTTTTCAGAGCCCATTGAATTCACTTTGGAGGTAAATACAGCAATGGTAATCAGAAAGGCATAAAGTTGCCTCCATAGGACACGATTTTAAATATCCACCCACTGCCGACTTCACAGAATTTGACCCTGTCGTAAATCAGTAAATTAGCGGACCCCAACTCCCCAGATTTGCCGTCCACATTTTCATTTCGGTGTGATGGTCGTCCACAGGCTGGACCTGCATACACAGAGGAACATCCACATGGTCCACCAACATTAGCCAGTAGAGGGTGGGGTGCTGTTCCTCCGGTGTAACATCTGGGTACAATTTCCTCGGGGTGGCAATTTGTGTGTCCACCTCTTGGCGAAGTCGGTTAGACTCCACGAAGCGGTACCTTTTCTGCTTCCACTCTTCCCAAAGCTACTATGATAGGATTTTTAGATTTTACTTTTCCCCTGAATACGACTGACTTGTGTAGAAGTAAGGAGATTAAAGGGAACTTATGCCAATTTTGTAGGTCGACAACACTGCGTTTCGGGTAGAATACGCCCCAAAAGTGGTGAGTCCACACAAGGAATTGAAGATTTTGGTCACTCTTGAGCCCCGAGACAGTTCATTAAACGTGCATGGAAAACTTGTCGTCTCGTGCAACCCCTCCACACTCGACCTCCGCATTCAGTGGGTTTTCTATCTCAAGGGGATTACTGCGGCATGAAATTTGAGAGAGACACGTCTGCCGGCTTCCCGAACCTGCTTTACTAGGACTGAAATATGGCAACAAGACAATAAAAAATAAACGAGTTAGTGAGGAGGAGGCTTTTATTAAAAAAGCATGTCTCAACTGATATCCTCAAAGATAAGACGCTCAGGACGTTATTCTGGTTACTTAGCAGCTTTTTCGAAACAAATAACCGTCAAGGTGGCCTTTCAATGGAATGCCATGTAAGCCTGTGCCGTGTCAGCTTTTCACTGCTTACAGTCAAGGTGATCTCCTTGTTGAAGGTAACACCACAGCTCAAACTATGGTTAAATAAGGTGGATGAGCCTGATCTACCCAAACCTCCTGTAGCAGTCGTCCTATAACCCAGCGATCTTATATGCAAGGCAAGGTACTCTCACACAGTATTTCTCTTCAAAGTAGTTCTGTATACTCCTGATGTAGAGGGTGGGTTACATCACTCCCCGCAACTCGTTACAATGCTCCACACTTCAGAGAGCCGTTCCTCATTCCGGACAGGTGTGGAAAATGGGTTCTTAAAAATCCCAGAAGGCGATCATTATCAACGGTCCTTCCAAAGATTACATCTGCAGTAATTTTGCCTGACCGAAAGAGAAGGGGTCGTATTATATGCTCACTTGCATACTTTCTAGTTAGAAATGGTAGGATTCGTCGTCAGTGATTAGTGGCTGAAGAACACAGCCATTTTCTTTACAATAACAAGACAAGGAACGGACGAAACAAATCCAAATTCTAGTGAGTTCATCCTTCTGACAGTTGTTCGAACATTTCCATTACTTTGACCGGATTAAAGACAGCCTTCATCCAGTGTTTTAGTACTGTCTATTCAACTATCTTACCTCAAATTTAATAGGTAGGCTTAAAGTTTTCCTTTTTTCATGCACTTTAGTTGTAGGCAAAATTTGAAAGACTCTGTATCAGTCACACTATTACGGGAGAAGGGAAAAATTATTCAGCCCCGAGAGGTCAATCATTTTCCAAAGTTCCTACTGGGTTTGCAAAGGTTCACTAAAGAAGGGAAACTAAAACATCTCTGTGGGGAACTGTCCGTTCTACTAGAACTCGCTGTGAAATGACAAAGCCCGATTACCAGACAAATTTGTCCATCGGGAGCTCGCTTTAGTACACTATGTAACGTTGTTGTTCTGGCATTATTCCCAAAAAGAATCTATTTCAACACCGTATCTGTGAAAAGCAAAAGCCTTCCATACCTATAATAATGAGATTTTGTGAAAAGGATTGTTTCCTTATAAGCACAAAATGTGTCCCTCTCTCCATCATTTGTCACCTTTGTTTGATAAGGGTTGTACTCAGTATATGCATCTCCTCCTTTGTCAGTTCAAAGTCGTCAACCTAATACAAAAAAGGTATTTTAAAGTCATAAACTGAAAAAGTTAAATGAGACAGGGAATGCACAAATTAAAAGCAAATGAAGATACCTTAGTTTAACTTTACAGTACATGGAATACGCATTTCGACTAATAAAAGTGCAAAGGCTAGAAAAATCTTAATGGAATGCTTACTTCTGAATAAGCAATAATTCTGGTTCGAGAATTGCTCTGTATCAGTGGGCAAAGACCGCGCTGCAGAGCGTGCTTAACCAAAATCTGTCCCTCCGACTTATGATGATTCTCAGCTATTTTCTTCACAACCTCCTCCTCAATGGGCATGATGGCAGAAGGGTCCCTGAATAGTGTGCATTAGTTAGAGTATATAGAGGTGGTCAAATGCTTTCACATTCAACTTTACACGAGAGTTCAAAACAAGGATTTGAGAAGTAACGTTCACAAATTTTTACCACAACTAAGGCACAAGATAATGAGTACCTGCCAATAACAAGTAAAATTATGAGCAGGAAAATGCATATTAGCTATATCTGGTTAAAAATCTTCCTAAATCTGGATAAATTTTCACATGATTTTCCTTATTTATTTGTACAACATCAGGCTATTCGGAAACATTAATGATTATGCAGATTAATAGGTTGTATTACTTTCAGGATTACAAGCGCGAAACGGTTTAAATAACAAAATATTCAAATTATTACCTCCAAATTTATTAATCAACCTAAATTAAGTCCCGCTTCCAACTTACAATGTTGCTGAGAATTTGCCAAACACATTTGACGCGATCGTAATAATATTGGCTGTTCGAGATAATGCCATAATTGAGGAGTTAGGAAAGTGTACAGAAACCTCAACCTGTAAATATTTTGGCTGTTTGTCGGCATACTTTAGAACATGGGTCAGCTGTTGTCGAGTACAGTTGGCAAGTCCAATATGGGTAAATCCAGTTTGAAAAAATAAACGCTCAGCAGCCTAGAAGCAGAAATGCAAATAAGGACATGAAAAAATCCAGGTAAGCATATAACAGGTAAATCAAGGCAACCGTGTTACACTTATGGGATATTTATGATTGGATTGTGTATTCGAATAATGTGTAAAACTTGCCTTCCAGCAATCCAATATGTAAAACTCCTTGTTCCTTTCAAAACCCTCAAGTAAGTATTACGAAAAAACAAAACATACCTCCAAATCGATTAGCAAAATCTTCCGTTTAAGTGGCAAACCGCCAAATTCAAATATATTTAATAGTTTTTCACGTTCGTTGTTCATTAGCAAAGGTGGTGAGACCTTCATTTAAGTTAAACACTATCCTTACCAATAAGGCAACATCAATGCAGCGCCTTTTATCATCTTGGTTGCCTATGCTGTCTGTATAAATATTTTCCAATTCCGCCTTTAAGATATCCAGGTGACTGACAAAACTGTGTGATACTTCAAGAACATGATAAGCTGCATCCAGGGCTGTTTTAAGCGAATGTTTAAAGCATGGTGAATTCGGATTAGTAATTTCGATCCATAAACCACGGCTCATCGCGTGCCCGAAAACGCACTCGCGCGCTGTTTGAATTATGCGATAAGGTCACTGACGCGTGTTTAAATTTGGCCTTGAGTATGCGATATAGAGTTGATATTTAAAAGTTATCATCAAAAAAAGCAAAAGCTGGTATTTCGCGCAACTGTGTAACAAAAAAATATTTTTAAAATCAAATAGAAAAAGGGAATAGGCAAATATTACACATTTTTTTGGCATAGAACCATTTTGGACGAAACTCCATTTTACAGACTGCTCTATTACCAATTCAGTTTACAAAAATTCAATCTCTTTGAGTCGGGTAAAATAACTTTGGCGTAACTAATGAGTATGCGGCATGGCTTTATGTTGAAAGTTATCACTTTAGAATGCCGCAATTCTATTTGTTAATATTCAATATTCTTGTAACAACATCCAGGCTACATTGGGACAAGAGTTTGAATTGATTAAACAAGGATTTGATGGAAAAAGAACTATTGAGAATACTTATTCCATACTTGGTGGACTATACTAACATTGCTAACGCACTCGCGTGCCTCTATTTTACTCTAGTCGTCCTTGTACGACCATGTTCCAAAGGCGGTTTTGCAAAGTCCTAGCAACGACTATGAATGATAGCGACTCCTCAGATTTGTCCTCCTATGCAAGTGAATCATCTTCCGATGCGTTCGAAACTAATTTGAACGCATCAAACGATGCACGATCTAATACACCTCGTGATTCGGTCATACAGAAGTTACCTGCAAGACAAAAGTCTAATGATGAATCCGTAGTGCCTTTTGCAACCATTAAAGTCGAGTCACAAATGTAAAAAAATTTCACGGAACTTATATTTAAGGATAGTTGAAGGTGATGCACTAACCGTTAAAATATCACCCGATAAATTGGCTTATGCAGTTGGATTATCAAATGGTGTTATCAGGGTACGGAATTCTTCCTTTGACAATTTAGATATTCTTTGTTGATAAACAAATAAACGAGAATAACGTCATTGCATTGAAATCCCCTAAAGAGAAGCTTCCATGCAATGACATGTGTTTTATCGATAGTTCATCAAAACCCTTCTCAAAAAAGAGTCCAAATCTTCTGGCTGTTTGTAAGTCTGTAGTTACAAGTTAAGTAAAAGACTCTTCTGGCTACATCAGACTATGGGACTGCTTCAATCAAGTGGCACAAGCGACCATGATTTTTGAGGTTTTTGAGAGCGCAGACCCTTGCGACTTCAACCTTATCAGTGAAGAAGGTACCGTTGCGAATGAACTCTTGTGTGTAGCATTGTCAATGGATGCAACACGCTTTGTAACTGGCGGAAGTGACACTATTATCAAGGTTTACGACCTGACGACGCGACTACGCCTCTTAAACTTAAAATCGGGGTAAGATCCATGTTACTGAGTGCATGTGTTAAATCAAGATCGAGAACCTATCTAACAAAGGAGTGTACACATCACACAAGTCGTATATCCGCCTTGGTTTATCATCCCAGAGGAAAAAACGACCCGATGTATAGTCACATCTTCGTTTCAGCTAGTTGGGACCAAACAATACAGATATGGGATGACCGAAAAGTAGCATCTCTTTGGTTTGTTTTGTTGTCCCGAATCACATATTGCAGGCATTACTATGGTCCACAAGTTGTGGGTTCGGATGGATTGGACATAGACGGCATGCAAAATATTATTGTAGCCGCTTCATGGGTCCGCAGTGGCGTTATGTTAAAAGTAAACTCATTTCCTGATACCTTTTTTCCTTTTCAAGATGTGGAAATTTGCAGATTTCTCCATTACTGGAAGCTCACTAGCTGCGAAACGCAAGATTCTTCAAAATTACAGCAAACCCGTAAATGAAGTGGCGCTTGAAGGTTCTGAATCTACAACCCAGGTAAATGAAAATCAATCTATCCACACACGAATACATTCCCATTAAAAACATTTACACCTACTGAATAACTTTACTTATTTGCAATTATTTTTTCTTAAACGAAATTAAGAAGCTCATGGTCATATATCCTAGGGATATGTTGCTCGTATAGGTGGAGAAGGTCGCTACATCTTCTACGCCGGTTACGGAATGAACATCCTCAAAGTAATCGATCGTGAAAGCATGAGTGTAAGGCCAACCCTACCACAACTAAATCATTTTTGTTTATTGCACTTATGAGAGTGTACAGGTGGTACTATTTCCACCGTAAATAAAAAGTAGTTCTCTCAAGGAAAGACGAAGGAAGGAAAGAATCTAGTTGTGAAAAGCAAATGAGGCGAGGTACATCTACTTGAGTAGCAATACTTTATCCATTGATATGCAAGAATTTAAGAAAATAACTTTCGATTTGAACTCTTTTCAGTGAGCTTTCCTAGCATAGCTCATTATTTCCCTGCACCGAATCAATATACGCTCAGTTAAGATACGTAGAAGTCCAATCATAGGATGAGTAACTAAATTGTCTCGTTTTCAAAGATCGTCACAGGTCTGACCGATCTTCCAAATGCAGTCTACAGCCTGGACTCCTGCCTCGACCCCCGGGACAAGCGGCGGTGCCTGCTCGTCTTCACCAATACAAAAAATGTCTACCTGGCTTCAGTGCAGTCGAGATCGACTTTCCTGGAAGTTTCTACAGCGTAAAGATTCTTCTTTCTCCAACATATTTTCTATCAAAAGATAGTTTTGCTGTCAACTGTAATTCCTCGTGTGATTTGTTTACACTACGCTACCAAAGGGAAACATGCGAACCGAAATGCATATCTAGAAGCACCAATGGTGTGTTCGACGAAGTAAAAGATGTAAGAACCACTCCAAACGTTAAAATCTTTTCGATGGGAAAGTGGAGGTATCTACTGGATGATGAACCCCTAGCGAGTGATACAATTTCAATGTATTTGGGGTAAAAATATAGGTCAAGTAAGAGGATAACACCACAGAGTTCAAGAATAAACAAGTAGTTCACTTACTTCACACAGGTCACCGCGTCCTTATAAAGTTGAGGAATTGCAACCACAAATAAGGAGAGCGATCACACTAACAGTAAAGTACCAATGAAGCTCCCCATCTGCCTGCTACCAAAAAAAGCAAAAATGGATTCAATCGCTAGCGGTATATTTAGCTGGGAAGTTCGACCAGTAGGGGCGATAACAACGGTTGACTGGCCGACTTAGTCTACGAATCAGAAGAGACGATAGGAACTGGTTCTTCGTAATACTTGGCAACTGCGTAGCTGCCCAACATTATTCCAAGCATGGTGCTGAAGATGACCATGGCGAATCTTCTCTGATCAAGCCGATATTCGAAAGCACTCTTCGAAATGTTCTCGTCAGCACGCTGAGTCCAAGCATTTCTCAGACTTCGATTATAAGATCGAACATAATCAGCTTCAAAGGAACCACTTTCGGCTTTCCGGAGCATATCCACATCGATTTTCGTTGGGAAATCGGAAGATGGCGGACCGCCGGTTTTAGGAATAACAAGTCCACGGTCATAGTCCATTCTTTTACTAGGGTCGCCAAGAATTTCGTACGCGCCTACGATTTTCTGATACTTTGAACCGGATTCAGTGGTACCGGCAATATCAGGGTGGTGGAGTCTTGAGAGAGCATAAAACGCTTCTTTAATTTCTTTTTGTGTTGCATTGGGCCGCAAACCTAGAATTTCATATAAATCTTCCACCTTAACGACATCTGTAGTTCGAAATCCTCGGATATGGGATAAACTAATGGAGCGTATCAACGACAATCCGCGAGACACAATAGTCAGGCGAGACGCCAGCGACATTTTACGAACGTCGCGATTATTGGCTCAAACGATCTTAACATTTGAAGTGTAGTACATTAAAATAAACAGGGGTGGTAAAGCACAATACCTTAAGACTGTTATGTTTCTAGGACGAGATTATTTTCTGTGCGACTCTCGAGTTTATTGCTGTATAATTTATATTATAGTGTATTTGCATGATCTTACAGTTTTTAAGCCATAGTTGGGTCGGCAGCTACCCATATAATATATTTGTGACTTTTGTTCTTAATTGGTAGTATTTGGTGACTTCTTTAAATAGGTTTCAATTACAGAGTTACTCATATTATTTTAAAGTCTGAGCTCTCAAAAATTTAGCTGCTTAACCTGGTATACAATAAGAGGACTGGGTAAGTGATCGCTAACGCAGCCCTCGAGTTTCCCACGCAAGCGTAATGGGTGAAATCGGTGTAACAAAACACTTACTGCAACCATTGACAAACATTGAGGCTCTGTTAGATTGATGGGAAGCCATACTACGGAGCAAAATTGCTGCAATTCCTTGTTACGTGGTTTAACTCAGCTATGGCAATTTCGACTGCTGCTGGGGTACATGGCCTTCGACCCACGCCGACAGCCTACCAGTCCTTCTATATGCCAGTCGTATATTTTTCCTTTATTATTATGACTTTCCATGAATTCAGAAAGTGAAAAAAGGGGAGTTGGGCATAGTATCCTAAAACAATATATCCAAACAATGCATCGGTAATAATTTGCTTCATTTTAGAGCATATAATACACCTTGGGTTTCAAGCAGTTACTGTTTCATTCACAGATTTTATATATTGTTCATCAGCAATTCTATTTGCATTAATACGTTTTACCTTTGAGGATTTCCATGTATAAGTCACCGGTTGTCTCACATCAGTGCCTTGCCTTTAGGGCGATCCCCTTCTCTCCATATTTTAAAAGCCTTCTTTTACCTAACTAAAAGTCCCTCTAGCTTGTTAAATTTCAAAAAGTTGTAAGCAAAGAATTTCTTTACTCATTAAATACCTCTAATTTCAAATAAACTACCAGGAAATGTGTTGCACGACTCAATCACCAAGTTTATTTTCTTCTTTAGATTTTTCCATAAGCAGAGCTATAGGGATTAGGTGAGGCGGTCTTTTACAAGCAGAGGTGTACGCAATGGTAGAGGTGGCTTTTCCTCGTTGTCTTCTACATCTGTCTGTGGACGATGAATGTTGAGACTGTCCCCTAGGCACGGCATGATAGGTTCATATGAAGATCCAGGTGTTGATAACTTTGCGGTGGTGCCGCAACTCTCGTTGCTTGCATGACCAACACTTAGATGTGTGGATCGCAATGGGGTCTCGTAGACAAGGGCGTTTTGATCATGAAGGGCGATTACACGTCTACAAGTCATGCCGAATTACTGGTAGGATCTAATGGTTTTCTTATTTTCTTCGAATTTCACCACTTAACCTCTAAGTACATAATTCCAGTTAGCAGTTTAAGTAATTTTAGACGTACCGCTTCCATTTCCTTCGTTTGCAAAAGTAAATTATGAATCCAACCATTATAGTGACGCAGAATATGACACAGGTCAATCCAATGATTAGACCCACATTCTGGGGCTAAAATGAACAGGTGGTGTTGTATTCTACGTGACCAACCATTCCTGCCAAAGCTTCGATTGTGCACTTGCCTCAGCAATCTTGGTTTCACACCAGCTTCCGGTCCAGCCTTCAGGACAGCTACAGAAGAAGGTGAATTTTGTGGGATGATCCACACATACACCTCCGTTGAGACAGACACTAGGAACGGGTGTGGACATGCCGAAACCACCTTTTTGCTCCTCTTCCTTAAGGACCATCTTGGAGGCGATGTGTTGTGCAGCCCTCTGATCGGTCTCCAAGAGGGCACAAAGGGAGAGACGCTGCTCGCAGTAGACACCGGTGTAGTACCTTGGACAGGTGCACACAAATCCGAGCGGATTTGTCGGACTCCTGTCGCATACACCACCGTTACGGCAGGGTGAGAAACGGCATGGATCGGTTAAAGGATAGCATTCGGGATCTGGCGGTGATGAAGATAGACTAAATACGATTTTTTTTGCATGGTTGATGGTGAGCGTTCATAATTATGACTCCGCACCATAACTGCTTTAAATAATTCTACCACCATGGTAGTTTCAACAGAAAAATGGGCTCACAGTGTCCGCCATTGCAAACGCAGATTCGGCCGAGCGATTTCGGCACGCATGTAGCGCCGTAGGCACATGGCTCACGCGTACAAACATCGGTTACGTTGCAGAACTCCCCAAAAAAGCCTGAAAAAGGACCACGCTCTTTAAACCTTCATTTGTATCGAATGTTTCCTTCCGGAAAGTAAACTAACCCCTGAGACAGATACGTTCTCCACTGGGTGAGCAGTAATATGACAGCCCATCGGATTTGCAGTACGTTTCACAACGAGAACCGTAGAAGTTCTCCGAGCAATTAAGTTGCAATCTCATGTCGACTCTAGATTAGCAAAATTTCCCTTAAAATAATCTCCTGTTTGTTGGTGATCACAAATATCCCAACAGTTGAACAAATACCTCAGTCCGGGCTTTGAATCATTTTTGGTGTCGCCCGACAGTGTAGAAAAGTAATCCTTCGTGCTTCCCAGTACTTCCAGCTCGTATCTCCCAATCAAATCGGCGCCACTGAATTTGTCAAAATCATAGACAGCAACTTCAATGCTCAGTGATTCCTAAAATTAGAAAGACTAAATGATTATGTAGAGGATTCTCTCAATAAATTCTACTTCTCTTCCATTAGTGCTTAGAAGATTGACGTGGAATGCATGTTGCTTAGTGGTCAAGCAGCAACCAGTGTTTAACTAGAAGACTTATGATTTCTTCAAGCACAAGGCATGATGTATTGGCAGCTGGTTTTAGGTGGTTATTACTTACCGGTACAGCGTGTTTAATAACCAGGGGTATTGCTAAATTGCCAGTTAAGTTAACCTTGAATCGCTCCATGAATGTTTTCGTTCGAACTTTCAAAATGCCGCAATCACTGTGGATGTATGAGGCGGGATAAAAAAGAGAAGGAAAGTAAAATTATTTAAGCATTTAAAGTCACACCATCTGTTCCACACCACTCACCCCGCACGGATCCCAACGCAAATTTCAAAGAAGACATCGCACATTCTCTCAAAAATAATGAAGTCACAAAATTGTCCATTTTCAAGTAGGTTTTCCGGATTCCAGTAGTACAGTTCAATTGTACCAACAGCTGCGTTTCTCTCAAAAGAAAAACACATACAAATTCCTTCATCCTCGAAAAGTGACTCCATGAATCGTAATGTAAATAGACAAGAGGAAGTCGAGCCACTTCATTATAGAAAGGGCTCCTTCTTCCCGTTGAACATAAGAATGTAAGTTTTGGGGAAAAAAACTTTAAAGCTCTATTCTATTATTCTCATTTATGCACGAAAAACGAGTGGGTGAGTGAGATCTACCGAGGGATCCAATGGTGTGCAACATTATAAAGCAAATGGATTTTGCTACCTCTTGTGAGTACTTAAAAAAACCTTCCTATAAGTACCAAATCAAATTTCATGAGCTTTTTACTACCCTTGCTTTTAATATCTTTTGCCGAAGTAGGGATAAACTTATTACCAGAGTAATGCTCTGTAGAACATACCAAGATCTCCAGAGATAAGGTGGTATGCAATCCGAGGCAGAGCACCAGGAGTGTAGTGAAACAAACTGTCATGGCAAAGGGTAGGAGGCTCTGTGGCTCTGTGCAAGAGAAAGCGAGACAAGCATAGCATAACAGTGAGTCGACTTGTGATTGGAGAAGCAGGCTTCAGCACATGCACCTATCGTGACATTGATTGTTTCCGTGGAACGTCACCTCGTCGGAAGTTCCGCCTCAGATGCTCATCTACCCATTTCAACTGCAATGACTATCTGAAAAATTTTGCAGAAATGACAATTAGATTCTCATTCGATTTTGTTTGTGTTTTGAGGGCTGAATGTGCTTCTTAATTAAGTAGGGCTACAGAAGAGTCAACGCAAAAAGAAAATAAAGTGGAGTAATAGGCTTTGAGACAAGATTGTATTTTCAAGGTTCTTTAAAGGAAGCCTGGGTTATGGAAGAATCCCAAAAGTGAAAGTTGAGACCACTGTAAGAATTTCAGGTTAAGAGGTTATATAAACTCAACCCTACTCCCCCTCTAAATCCAAAGCATCCAGGTTTACAATTTTCGCTGCGTTTTCTTTTACTTTAGAACAATAAATAAAGATGTAATGCGATAGTGGTTTATCCCTCGGTATTGGTGAGGCGCCACTCTTGTACTTTGAATTAGCTCCCTTTTACCTCGCTGGGTGGGTTGGCCTTTTGGGCCATGCAAATAGCCCAGGCACCTTCTCTGCGCTGAATGCATATCCTGCCCGAGTATTGTGTCTTCTTTCGTCTTCAGGGAGTCTCGGGACGCTACATTGGTGGCAGCGGAAAGCGAACCCGATCTTGAAAGACACGTATCCTGATTTTCCACTTCTGCGTGATAAGCCTTAGTGGAGCGGAAGAAGTACATATGCTACGAATGGGAGAATGGTGATGGCCCCTAACAGAAAGGTTGATGTTGACGTCTACCTTCGGCATCTCTCCCAGTCCCGTGTTCTGCAGAAAAGCTATTAACAACTGAAGCGACACTGGCCGTGAACCATCCGGAAGTTTCGGTGCGGATTTTCCCTACCGTTCCCCATGAACCTGTTTTATATCTTTTCCTTCCTTACTCAAATCTACTTTTAGGCCAGTGTTCCTACACCCATCTATGGACACGCATGATGGCCGGCGCAATTCTCCGTCCTCAACCAAATCCCTAAACCAAACGCAACTCCAGATCCAGTCAAGCCGCCAAGAGGGATCAGTGACGTTGAGGTCAAGTTCACCCTCAGTTGCGCGCTAATTTGGTGACTAGCACAGTCGGCTCGTGGGTGTTTCTTTGCAGCACCGACTACGTTGTAATGGCTGACGTGGGAGGTTGACCTGCGGGAGCGCCGGAGACGACGCTCAAAAGAGGAGGGAAGCTACGTAATACGATAGTGGTTTATCCCTCGGTATTGGTGAGGCGCCACTTTTGTACTTTGAATTAGCCCCCTTATACATCGCTGGATGGGCTGGCCTTTTGTGCCATGCCAGTAGCCCAGACACCTCCGTGCTGAATATATATATATTCTGCCCGAGTATTGTATATTCTTTCGTCTTCAGGGAGTCTCGGGATGCTACAAAGAACTCCTGAGAAAACTGGGTTCAAAGTACAATTAAAAATGCTTCGAAGAGCACATCTAGCTAGCATTTTTCTAAGTCAAAGTAGCAGAGCTTAAAATAAAATGGAGGAAAAAGGCAATTGCGGCGACTATCCAAGTTATGAAGTCAGAGGAAATTTGGAGGCGTAGTTAGCTCGTCACAACACGTGAATTTACGCAGCACAACCAGAAAAAAATTCTAAAAAGTTCAGCAATGTGACGGCTTCCTTAGGATTACTTGATTCAAATGCGAATCTTTTGCATCTGTCAAATTAATACAGAAATTCGAGGGAAATATTTTGCAGGATTTATTGTTTGAGGAAACACAGTACAAAATAAGTTACAAAACTGTGCAACTATGTGACGCAAAGTCTTAGGTTATGTTTTAATGAAGTAGTTAAATGTAATGCATTGAGTTAAATGAAACTCAACGATTTGGCAGATCAAACATCGTCCACGGATAGTGGCGTCAACTGGGGTACGCAATCAAAGTAGCTGGAGCATTTGTACAATGTAAAACAAACTTGAGAGGTAAAAAAAATAAATAATGTCATATGTGGTACACGTCCTGCAACAGCACTTACATTACAGCTCGTTTGATTAGACAACTTAATAAATTTCCCTGGTCGGTATTTAGTTCGGATAGCCCATAACGTGTTTCCACCCGTCTACTATTAGTATAATGCATTCACACAGTTTAAATTCTTTTAATTATTGTTTAAAATATTTTTGCACATTTTTTGTTTGTTTAAGCAAAAACTGCCTATTGACCTACCTTAAAGGTCAGCGTGGGCTGTTTAAAAGTGCTTGGGTCGCTTCGCATCTTGGTGGTCCATACAGAGGGTGATTCTAGTGTTTGAATTTTTAATGATACACCCGACTCTAAATATACCGAGTCGATGGTAATGTAACTGGCTTGGTCATTCCTGGATGTGAAGTCCCTTCTGATGTTATGTTTGCTTTCTTATTTGCGTCAGCACCTACCTAGTCAAATTTTTAATCAATTTAAAGAATAATGATTTACTAGATAACTTTCTGCTCTCGTTTTTTAAAGTCTTGCGATAGGTTGTTTAATTGTGTCTTTTAACTTATCGCCTTCATCACTTGACATATCTCGCTGTCAGAATTAATTACCAAAAGCTATCCGCATTCAATCATTATGTGGCACCTTAAATACATAATTATGCACATATGCATTTTGGCACTTTAATTTGCACCCAATAGTTATGTCTGCTCTTGGGAACAGTACTTATACGCATTTGGTTTTCGAGTCATACAATCACCCTATGAAATTATTCTGCTGATATTTCAGCCTTTAAAAATGAGCAGCTTTTGAAGAAATACCTATCTTCACACGGTAGACTGCTTTACCGTCAAATGCGTGTATGAAACAGTGACATAATAACAGTCGTTTGTGTTTGGGACACCATGACAAATTTAGTGCCTTGAGAGATCTTATTTATAAGACGATTTGAGTTGTGAATTAGTAAATTTTCGTAATTTTTACCCTACTTATGCTCCGTTTTGAGGAAAATAGAGCCGTCATCTCAAGACTTTGTGAAGTATAAGTTGGAGTAGTAATTAAAGTAACATATTTGGAACATTTTTCACATTAACGACACACTGAATCATAGGCTTAGTCATTCAGGCATCGCGTTGTCAAGAAGTTATACGGTTTTGTATTTACTTTTCTCTACTCTTGTTTTACCTACTTTTGGACCCTGTAAAGCGCCTCGGTTTTCTTCCGGTATACCACCATGGGCAATCTAACAAAGTGTCTCTTGGTGGCGGTATGCTTAGCCTCGGCACAGATTGCAGACTTCATTAACCAACTTATCTCGCCTTCCTGTCTTGATTCCCGTATTAGTCTCCCGCGTAATTAGTTGTTTGGTTTCACTATAGATGGTAGTTTTTGGCCCATCCGTGGTTAAATTTGTCGGACTTGGATTCCTATGTGGACTGATTGGTTCATGGCTTCTAACCTCGTCTACAAGCTCTTACCTTGGTCAGATTCAACTTCATCCACTTATACGTGCACCAAAAGAAGGTGTTCTCGATGTTCAACACTTTTCCGAACATGGTGGACATCATGAAGGTACGTTCCTTACTCAAATTTTTCATTTATTTCTAACCCTGTCTGTGAGAAATATAATCAAACTAGACATTCTCCACTTTTCTAATAGCTACTACATATTTCATGTTTTAAATTTTTATCTTTTAACTCATCACTGCTAAAACCTGCCAATATGGGTAAACTTTTTAGGGCTATTTGCTTTGATTCATTTACTGGTGACTCAAAATGGGGTTGAAGTGTTGTTACATTTACTTTTCGCCCGCCAAGTGACACACGATTTGGTCATGTAAAACCGGACCTGCAACCGGTTTGTTACCTGGTAAGGCACCTATGCAAAATATCAGCGCCAATTCTGTCATAATCTTCTTCAAAAGGTGAGACTCTACTCGTGGATGAATTGGCGAAAGTGCGGCCGGTGTTCGCCTTTATATTTACCTCAGCGACAGAGAATGAAACTCGAGCTGCTCACATTAAGTCAACTTGGGCGCAACGCTTCGACGGGTATCTCTTCTTCAGTGATAATAACGACACAAATCTCCCTGCATTTGGTGGGTAATTGTGAGTAATTAATTGTACCATGGTAGAGTCGATTTTCTAGCTGTAAGTCACTGCCAATCAAACTTATTTTTGTGATACATTTTTAGGACATGAGGCAATTTGCCGGCATTCGTTAAACTTACAGAGAGTGTGGTGTTTTCAGGAGTCGTGAAACACGAAATCCCACCCTAAATTCGGGCATAGTCAATCAGTTGGGAATATTTCTTTGAACTCGTGAAGAAGCTCTAGGCCAAAGATAATTTCGATCTGTTTTTTTGATTAGGAGCGTAGCAGGCCAGAGAATACATCGGTAGTATCGTCATATTTTACTTCACATAAGAAAGTTTACAATATATGTCCACAAATTAAGATGATTTTGGCAGATCATGTTGACCTAACTGGAACTGCGTTGATTCCGTGTCTGTCTAATCGCTCTGTGGCATAGACTGATTTCATTTTTGCTGGTAATTTTTCAATTTTAGCCCTACCAAATAAAAAGGGATGGGCCTTCACCCGTTCGGCCATTGCTCATATTTACGACAACTTCCGTCAGAACTTTACCTTCTTCATGAAAGCTCACGACACCAATTACGTTGTGGTGGAGAATTTGCGTGCTCTCCTCCGCGAAATAGACTTCAAAGAGCCCCTTTTGATTGGTCGTTCGATGGCGGTAGGCTGGTTTATTCCATCCCCCGTTTCCACTAAATAGACTGCCCTTTTTAAGTTGGTGAAACTTTAAACCAAAATCTCGTCTTAATTTATCAAATCATTTGTGATCACTTGTTTAGGATGACTGCATTTCAAATGAATAATTACTTATCCAGATGTAAAATTATCGCAAGCATCTATTGTGGAATTGCGTGAGGTAGATTTCTTTTTTTCCACCTTCAGGCAACACAAGGCACCATTCAGTTTCTGTCGGACGAGTCCGGCTACGTAATGTCTCGTGCAGCCTTGGAGAGACTTGCGGTGGGCATCAAAACCAACGTCGAGGCCTGTAGCGAAAGTGACGCAGCTGCGGACGTCAATTTTGGTTCGTAGAGATTTGTCCAAAGTCCTTGACTTAATGCTGAGACTGCCCTTTCCCTCATCATGCATTTATTAGTGTTAGTAGTGGGTTTCTCCACGTCTAATGTGAGAGATTAGCGGGGTTAAACCATCCTAGAGCAGCCTTCGCCTCTGTTCCCAGTTCTGAAATGCTGATCTGTCTCGGTACGCCCCTGAGTTGCAAATTTTCCTGATTGAAAGGTCCATCTTCTGGTGTAGTTGCTTAACGACTATCAATCATTGGATCTACGTTCCGGATTTATTGTAAGCTGAGAACTACCACCAAGATCGGGGTCGTCATTGGCGCTATACGTCCGACCGTCTGCATTCCAAGCATTCTAAGGTCTTACAGTGGCTTAGATTCCCAACATCTTATGTAGGCCTTGGCAGGTTCAATTCTTGTCCTTTCGTCCGAATTAACCCTCACTAAATGCCTTTGTGTGTACGCACCGCCACCTTCATTTTCCGTCTTGCTTAACAGCGTCTGAACCAAGCTGATAAAAGAAATGTGGGCTAGCTAGTATTATTAGTAGTTGGTCAGGCTTGCTACCCATTACTGTCTGTGGCAGCTCCGTGATATCTCCGTTTTGTACTCGTAAAACCAAAAATCTCGTTTTTATTTGAACTTTGGATGACTACTTCGCTTGCCTTTTTTCTCGCCTAGGCAAATGTGCCATTGCGGTGGGCGTGAAATTGATCCACGCTGTAGATCAAGACAAATCTGATCTCTTTCATCCACTCACACCCTGGGACATTTTGAAGAAGTTTCTGGAGACCATAAATCCCGACCCGACAGTATTTGGGTCTGATCAAATGACCAAAGTAGGCATCAAACTTTGCGCACTCGTATTTTTGTCATGGTTTTCAAGTGAAGAATTCCTATCCCTGCTCCCTTCAAATTTAGGCTCTTACCTGCTGCAGTGACCAATCTGTGGCTTTCTCTGATCTCAGAGGTGCCCATCTCTACATGATGGAGTATATGGTATACCACCTTTACCCCTACGGCATCATTCACGAGCCCGAGAACTATGAAAAAGTGAGGCTTCTTCAAAGCGCTATACAACGCTGAAGCTCATTTCCATTCCTGGGGCTGCCTAGTGCTTCTTCATGCCTTATCCATTGTATACTTGTTTCTTTCAGCCTTTTTATATAATCCACCTTTTTCTGCAATACTTCGGCAATTTTTAGAACTTCCGGCTCATTTAAAATTGTACATGAATTGAAATACAAATTGTGTTTTGTTAGTCTTGTTCGTTCTTTTACTTAAAGTAAGTAGCATCAAGTAGTTTCGCCACGGAGTGGTACTGTGTGCCATGACTCCGCTGGCCCCTTAGTCTAGCGTTTCATCTCCCTTAATGCTGCATAATCTCTACCCTAAATCCCGTGGAAATTGACTGTAAACACTTTTCAAATAATTTTTGTTTCACAAATGGTAGTTTTGGCCCTCTCCTTCCACTATGTCTCCTATCTCAAGTGGACCTGCTAGTTGGAATGTACTTTGGTAGAGGCCCAAGCATCATTTCCAACTTCATAGTTTCACTTGATCGTCAACGTGGCAACCATGGCTCGTTGTGGCCTCTGAAGTTGGTTGGTCTCTCTGTCACCACAGGACGAACCTTTCAATTAATTTCAAGTGCTATTAGATAGTAATGAATAGAGAGGCGTCTAGGACATGAATGAGAGAGAAAATAGGCCATAGTTTTGCAATTTAGTTTTTTTTAGATTATATGAGTGTACTTTATGGTTCAACGCCACGCACTCATTTCAGATTAACTTAACTCCTGTTTCCTAGTGTTTCAGAGAAGGAGAGAAGGATGGATAAATTAAATCAATCAGGAAAGTGTCGGCGCAAATCGCAATTATTTCTCGCTGGCATGCTGACTGGAGTTTTCGCCTTCGGTATCTCTCTTTGCATACTACAGTTGTTCATGTGTGAGCGCATTGAGAATGGGATCACCACAGGATTGGGTGTGTAGCCAATTGAGTGCTACTGAATTCCGAAATAAGTAGATTATTTCCAACCTCTGGTAGAGGATGCAAAGGTGTTATTATTGGCCTCTTGCCTTGTCTCCACCTACAGATTTATCATATGTGATTATTGTCAATCAGTCTGCAACTTCAAGTAAGGCATTAATCTAACCCGTCTATTTTGTGGATAGTTTGGCACACGCACAATCACATGCTTACGGCTCACACTGCATTGCACTTCAAAATGGCCAAATGCTATCTATGTGTTGTGTAGATGACTTAGTGGCACAAACTACCGAAGATCATATCTAATATGACAGCTGTCGACTGTACCGCCATGTAGGCAGTCCAACTCTGGCAGATTACCTGGCGAGGCGGGTTCGTGTATTCGCTATCATCTTGACAACTCCGCCTGTTAGGATGATCAAAGCTATCCACGTGAAAATGACCTGGGCCAGACGATTCAATGGCTACATGTTTGTCAGTTCCGAAGAGGATATTTATTTGCCATCCATCAGTGAGTGCTCTCCATTTCTGTCGTTTTTCCACGAAATTGGCATAAGGCGTCACACCCGATAGTCCGGAATGTGCTTTCTCAGTTGGGATATCACAGACTAGCCTCTAACACGCCCTCCAGTTTTTAGTGATTACTTACTGCCTGTATTGTCCTTTAGAAGCGGTAGATAAGGAGGGCCGAAATGTGCTATGGGAGAAGATACGCCAGGCTATGCTCTACATCTACCGCAACAATCTTAACGACTATGACTTCTTTATGAAGGCGGACGACGACACCTATGTGATTGTGGAAAATCTACGATTCCTCCTCTCCAACCAGGATCCCGACATACCCATCCTAATGGGCAGACGATTCAACGTAGGCATTCCGATTTCCCTCCTATGAGAGCTTAAGTGGGCGCTTACATTTCTGATCCTCTGATTTCAAGCTGCTTAGTGTAGTCTGGTTTTGAAACAATGGCTAGTTGTGACATCTTTTAGGGTGTCTAGTACGACCATTAGCTTGTTGCTTTTTTGTTCCTCGCTTAGAGCGCATCATATAGACCAGTTCTGTGCATGAGTGTGTGGTTTTCTTCCCATGGAATATGAGATGGTGCTGTCAAAGACCACCCTAACCCTCCGTAACGCTTCGTACGGGCGATAAATATGTGAGGGCAAATGCTAAAACAATGCTGTATCTTCTTAGCTTGTCTCCTTCACTTATATCCATGTATTTTAAAGTGCTCGTTTTGAAGGTTGATATCGTGGACTTTTTCGTAAGTGAACTGGCGTTTCCACTTCACGGTGTTTGCTACAATCGAAGAGGGAAAATCCAGAAGGCCCACCATATTTCACCAAGACAAGTTCACCTAAGTCACCACACACGTCACTGCATGGCAAGTGATGATTGCTCTCATCGTCAGGTGCGACAGTGGTGTAAAATATGACACTTGCATGAAGTTTATATTGAAGAGATTTCACAGGTATCAAACCATTTCGGTGAAGCTCAAATGATCTAGGACTAGAAGATGCCAAATACTTCCCGGTATTTTCTTGAATTAAGGCTAGGTATGACATCACAATATCTCTCACTTCTATTAAGAAGCTTCTTTTGTTTAATGGCGCACGAATTTTCTTCTCCTGTGGGCAGCTGGATTGTTGAGTACCTTGTACACGCCTACACTTCAAACTCATTGTGGGGTTTCGCTCTCCAATGAATGAAGGCTGTGGATATTTTCCGTGCAAAGCCATGCTCGAGCTATTGATGAACTTGCAAGTAGACGAGGCGAGTAGTCTACCATCTCCCCCGTCGGTGCCGCTGTCAACACATACAGACGATTCAAGCGCTAATTGTGTCACTGTCGCCTGTACTTCGGTATTGTATGGAGCATTTTAAGGAGTGGATAAGTACACTCATTATTGCATGCCAAACCTGGCTACACGTAGTACTCTCTAACATTGCCATAGTTACGCCCGGTGTGGACACACTTCAAGTGGACCTTGAAATCCTTGACCCCTGGCTGCGTAGGTGCGACAATAGCCTTCCCCCCTACCCACGGCCACAGGAAAACGACATCTTCTTTTGGTTCTTTAGTGCATTGAGCGAATGCCATATCTACTGACACATGATGTACGATGAAATTTGTGGCATTTTTACGGTGCCCGCCTCTTATAAGATCGTTTGTTATAAGCCTTAACTCCTTGAATGAAAAGGTCTACTTGTCCGTGCCTACCGGCACTGCTGATTCCTCAAAGTTGTTGAGCACATTCTGAAAAGACTCATAATTCAGATTTGGACTCATAAAACCGTCAGCTGCTACATCAAGGTAAATCCGCAATGACCTAGCCTTTGAAGTTGTGCAATCATTGGTAAACCTTGCACCAACCGAGCTGTCACGAGTTTGATTGTTTAGTGGACTTTTATCATTAGGTGACGGTTTTTCGAGTCGTAAAATTTTTGTTGCCATTGTTGTTCTAAGTGCGGTGATCAATGTCAGGCCTTAGACGTTGGCAAAGCAGTCGAGAAGGGGAGGATCATGGGATACAAGTTTCTCGCGTTTCAAACTGAGGCATTCTTTGAGGATTGTATTTGCGCGAAATTTCTCAGTATTTAAAAGGCGATAAATAAAAGTGCGAAGGAGTGATGCATAAGTTTGTTTAGCTGATTTTCAATTAAACTCGTTGCAAGAATCTCGTGTAACTTATAGCGTCCTGCATTATTCATGCAAGTGTAAAGATGCATACGTTTTAGATTTGCGTCATAATGTCGGCAGAACACGGTGCGGTTCTCATTGCGGCCTCTACTACTTAAACTCTCAATTTATATGATATCGTTTGAAATGGCCCGTTTAATGTGGGTGCAGTCTTTCTGCTTCACGAATTGGCATTAATTTCTAATTGAGCCCCCAAACTACAGAAACTCCTCCTCAAGAATTGTGTTCGATGGCATTTGCAGAAGATACAGTATATGTGTGATGGCAGAAGGTACGTGGTAGTAGAATGCATGCATCTAAAAAGCCTTATAAGATGGACTTCTGCTGAATGATCACTGAAAGTCGCATTTACTACTGATTACAACTTAAGCGTCGCTAGTAAGTAGAATGATGTAAGGTGGTCGTGGCAAGAACAGCTTCCAGTGATGCATTGATGCAAAAGATGCATCAATTCGTTTACAAATGGGCAGGAAAGGTGGCGGCAACTTCTAGCCACGCATAAAGACGTAGAGGTCAAGAAGTGATTTTGTAAGATGGTCGAGTGGATGTTCCTGCCCTCTTTACTTCACATTACAAGGCTGCGTAGTTGGAATTAACTTATATGCAGACTGACTGATTGACTAACTAGTGGCCGTGTGATGATAAAAGTTGTTTATGCTGCAGCGCGCGTTTTGCAAGCGAGCCAACCACCCACTACCTACGTCAGCCCATTCTTCTGAGGCACACACCACTTTACTCTCGAAAAAAGATATTTTGCAGACGTATGACCTCTACGTCCATAGCTGAAACACCCAGTGCTAAAACGGCACACGACTGACTGGGCACTGATATCTTCTCTGCTTTTTTTTCCATTTTTTCCACAAAACACGAAACACTTCTAGAGTAATACAAAGATTTCACTTTCCCTTCGCGTCTGCAATGAAAGGCGAAGATCTCTAACCACCTAAGTAAGATGCAACACGAGGCGTCGAGTAAAGCTACCAATCTTCCAGCATGAGGATATACTGACATTGCGTATACACGGGATAGGCTCAAGATGGGTCCAAATTCCATCGTCTTGTTTTTTTTTCTTGGATTGTTGCTCATTTTCTACAAGTTTATGTGAATTCTCTTCGTCATATTTCTGTATTCAATTTGGTGTGTATTGTCGGTATGTTTACTTTATTGGTCATCTGGAAGCTCGCCTTTTTTTCAGTGCATCGTTTATGATGTTGGCTGTGCTAACACTTCGCTCAAATAAACAAGTGGTTTCATCTTGCCTGTTCGGCGGCTATAGCACTGAGTCCTTCCATCACGTTACCACCCACGAAAGAAAAACAAACACCACTTATTTGATTTAGCGCTAATCGAAAGTGTTCACGGTTGTCTTCAATGATTGCGATATCCTCAGACATCCCGCTTCCCTGCAGCAAAATGCTATTCAAAATACCTACACCACCTCCACTTATAGACGTTTTAACTATGGATACTGCATCGCCAAGAATCCTCCTTGAAGACGAGTGCTGTAGTATTGCCGGCGTACAAAAGGGGCTGGAGGATGCTACCGCTATGGCCCGGAGGTCATCCCGCCCAGCCAAGGTACAAAGGGGGTAGGGGCTTAAGCGACCGCAAAACCAGACCAGGGAGTTAAACGGACAATCAAAACAACACCGATAGTGGTTCATATGACTAAATACGAAAAGGAATGGTGAAGGAGTCATACGGATGTGGAGTATCACGAGAGGTGTGAAGCTGTCTCACGTGTCGCCCTTAGCCCAAAAAAATATGGGCGTGAGTGACATCTGACCATCCCTATATTTGGAGTTAATCACATTTTAGCTGCTACCTATCCCCTTAACAATAAAAAACTGTATTTTCTCCTTTTACTATTGGCAGACGATTTAGTTATCAAGGTCGATGACAATGGTGGAGTGCTCTATGTCCCTACTGTTGGTGCCGTTGTACTACAAGTTGTTTACTCTCAAGTAAGATCAGAAAGATGAAAGGGGCACGACATTTTTGATATTGTTGTGCAATAATTTTTGCTGGTAGTTTTCCCAGTTTAGGCTAAAAGGTAGTTGGACTGGTTATCAGAAGAGAAAAACACTGTAAAGAGTTTCCAGTATTTTCCGAAATGGATTATTCAAGGATTAATTGACGCTTCGGTCGCAGTAGATCTTCTTTCCTCCTAAATTATCTTTTTAGCTGAGGCGGAATGCCTGACGTGTTACACTGCCCCTTCCGAAAACAGGCTTTCCAACTTGAATCGTCAAAATTGTTTATAACTCAAAAGGTATACAATCTAAGACAAGAAAGACACTTTTTCCTACTAAACACAATGTTTACATTGATCATTCTGAGTAGGACGTACGTCATTTTATTTCTTCGGGTTGATTATACGTTTCTTGGGGAATGGTGAGAATGATATTGAAGGACTTAGCTACCCATATTTTCGGCCTTTATAACATTGACTTTCGAGGTCTGGAAGGAGGTTGGAGTGTCAAGGAATTTGGAATGGAATTTGTAATCCCCCACGTAATTCGCCTCCTTGTCTGTGTTGTAGCATTCCAGGAAAAACTTTTTCCCTTCCGGTGGAGCTGGCTACGTGTTATCGCGGGCTGCATTGAAGCTAATTGTCGAGGGTATCTTCAGCGGGGCGGGAGCATGTGCCAAGTCAGAGGCCCCGGAAGATGTCCAAATTGGTAGGATTTATTGCTTTCCTCTGCGTTAAAGAAAGTGAAATTCCTGAAAGGCAATTAATCTTATTCCTTGTGATGCAGACATTTGTGGTTATTAGGCGATGCGCAGTGAATGTGAACACTTGATTAACCTATGAGCTGACCAAAAAAGTTTGCGCAAAATTTTATGGGGATGGCAGTAATTGTCTTGAATAACTTGAACAAGCTTGCAAAGTACATGAGAATGTTTAGATTCGTGTTTTTTTTGGTTGGGGGAAAGGGGGAGGGGTCAGGAGACAGATACGCGTCAATTTGTCGGTGCGGCACGGTGCGACGCTTCTTATTATAGCTTCTATCATTTGAAATTCCAGTTTTCTTGAATCCTCATTTTGTGAGATATTGGTGAAACTAACCTGTTGAAGGTGCCTGCAGCTTGTCCACATCACGAGCTGACATGGGGTTCAGTGAGTTCCAAATTGTTGAAGCTCCGTCTCGTGGAATGCGTCAAATAGCATTTGCAGAGGATACGGTGAGTATGTGGTTGTAGAATGCACATGGTAGCAGAAAGCAAAAATTTATAATGACTTAGAAGGCCATCTTTTGGTGATGAGTCACCTGAGGTCGTATAAAGACAAATGATAACAAAATAGGCGTCGCTATCAGGCTAAACGAAATGGGGTGCGTAAGACAATAACACCTCCCAATGATGCATTGGTGTGAACGATGCACTAAGCCGATTACACTCACATCAAGTAGACAAAGAAGCCTTTTGGCGGATTTTAGTCAAGTCAAAACTGCATTGCATGCATAAAGATGTTTTTT